TTAGTAAACACAACTTAGAGATTCGCAATAATTTAATTTAATTAGTAAACACAACTTAGAGATTCGCAATAATAAAATATAGTAAACACAAGTTAGAGATTCGCAATAATTAAATTTAATTAGTAAACACAACTTAAAGATTCGCAATAATAAAATATAGTAAACACAACTTAGAGATTCGCAATAATTAAATACAATTAGAAAACACAACTTTAATCAGTTAACAAGTATTATAGATTGTAAATGTTACAATGCGATGCGAACCCTCTCAAAACAATCACAGCCAAATACAAACAATCCCTAATAACACGTTTTGGTGATATGGATCCCTTAGCAACATTTAATATCACAAATGTATTGCGTTATATCCGTCTTTATTCTATTTCATCAAATTCCTCTTCTTCTTCGACAGGTTTGATCCTTTCGTCTTGTGGACAAACAGCAACGTGACCTGGTGTTCCTTTTACATCATTTAAGGAGTTTTCTTGCAGCATTTTTCTCTGACCTGGTAGAAGTGGTGGTACCGGTACTGGTTTTTCAGCTGCAGGTCTTTTGAGTTGGCCTGGTAGAAGTTTTTCAGGCGGACGCTTCCTGAAAATAGCTTTCTGGTAGTGAGTATTGAGGTTTTCTTTAGACACACCCAACTGGATTGCACAATCAGCTTTTTGCATCTGTTCCTCCATCATCTTTATCTGTCCTGGTAGCGGCTTGGGTACTGCCGGAAGAGATCGTTTCTGAAAACCGTCTTCATCAAAAACGTTTACGCCTTTCCTGGATCGTAATCGCCATCCTCTCTTTCTCATTATTTTAAATAATATTTTCGAGACAATGGCTGTAGCCACCAGACCCGCAACCACTCCGACGATTGTGAATATAGTGGTCTCAGATATTTCTTTTTCCGGAGGTGGTGTAAAGCTGACTGTTATTTTATTAGTGGTCAAAGGACTACTCCAATAACCCATGTCCTTCCTCCAAAAGATATAAGGGTTAGTTCCAGTCGTTTATCAATGTTTTGCCCTTTCAAAGATAATAACATGATTATAACGTGGGAGATATACGTAAATGATATCCTTTCTCTGTAATGATCTCAGATAACAGTGTTATTAACTCATTGCTATATTCATAACTAACATTAAAGGACAATATTGGTGTCAGTCATTATTACATATGTCCTGTTTAAAGGATAACATTGGTGTCAGTCATTATAAAATAAGTGATGGAACAGCTTGAACACGTTCCAAATATAATTTTAACACAGAGATCATTGCTACGATAGATGCGTTATGACGATTTCAAGAAACGGAAGTAACGAACGCAAAAGGAAAACACGAGTTATCCTTCTATATAACGGACTGGCGTGATACACGGGCAAATTTCTGCTCACTAATAATTCCTTCGAAGACCAAATGTTGTTATATGAGGATGTGAGAATATATCTGATAATTCAAAGAAGTAATTGAATATCACTAGATAAAAGGGAAATCGAGCAAAATAGAAATAAATTGGAACGTGTTTAACCTGTTCTATCAGATATGTGATAATGACTGACACCAATATTGTCCTTTAAAACATAGAAGATACTATTCGTAAACTCTATCCTTTCTCAGTTTCTCAGTGGCATTTAACCCATTACTATATTCATATCTAACATTAAATGTGCTGTTCCAATTAATGGGGGGGGGGGGGGAATTGCCGAATGTATCATAAGGTCTGTCATTGAGTCAACTGGCGTGGTTTCGATTCTCCGTTTGTACGTGACAAGGAGTAGGGTCGCCTGTTCAACCTCGTGGGTTTTCTCCGGGTCATCCGGTTTCCTCCCACTGCTAAAGCCCCCTACGCGCAAGCGATTTATTGAAATAAAATTGAACCATATTTTAGTCCCGAAATGACCTAGTTTGTTTCGAGTGGACGTTAAACCCAATTTTTTTTCTCTCTTTCTCACACTCTGTCTCTCCCTGTCTCTCTCTGCCCCTCTCTCTCTCATTCTCTCTCTCTCTCTCTCTCTCTCTCTCTCTCTCTCCAATTAATAGTTGTTTAATTACGACTTAGTTGTTGTTGTTTATTACAGATTTAACGTCCAATGCAATAAATATGATATTATGGACAGGTTGATTTAATTCAAATATTAAATCTTAAAGGGTTGAAAATTGGTAAAAACCCCAAAATAAAAAAGTCCTCGTGAATCAAAAAGTCGCCTTAAAACACATTTATAAAATCGATGTCGTGAGAGGAAATGAGGGGAGGGGGGAGGGGGGAGGGTGCATGTTCACTCTTTGTCATAATAAAAACAAGTTGAAACAGAAGGTCCGGCTGTTTGGCGTCATCTGTGTGGATAGAAAAAGAATACCACAGCACGTATTTGTTAGTTGTTGTTTTAGTTACTGCTTGATTTTATTTTCTGGTAGATATTTTAGTTACTGCATGTATGTGCTCGTAGTTGTTTTAGTTACTACATATATTTGCTAGTAGTTGTTGTAGATACTGCATATATGTTTTAGTTACATGTAGTTGTAGTTGTTTTAGTTACTGTATATATTTGTTAATCGTTGTTTTAGTTACTGCATATATTTGTTAATGGTTGTTTTAGTTACTGCATATATTTGTTAATCGTTGTTTTAGTTACTGCATATTAGTTAATCGTTGTTTTAGTTACTGTATAGTAGTTAATCGTCGTTTTAGTTACTGCATACATTAGTTAATCGTTGTTTTAGTTACTGCATATATTTGGTAATGGTTGGTTTATTTACTGCATATATTTGTTAATGGTTGTTTTAGTTACTGCATATATTTGTTAATCGTTATTTTTGTTACTTGTAGTTGTTTTAGTTACTGCATATATTTGTTAATCGTTATCTTTGTTACTTGTAGTTGTTTTAGTTACTGCATATATTTGTTATCATTGTTTTAGTTGTAGGTAATATATAAATAATTCAAAGGGCCCCGATATGTGGATTTACTGCAAGCACTTCGCTCTTCCACATGCAGCAAGTGGAGTCTTCTTCCACATACAGAACACCAATCAGCTGGAAACCCTGTTTTAACTTGATTTTTTTCTAACGAATGGAGACGTTGACCTGTCCGCTCTTCTCACGGCAGCGAATGTTAAGTCCGTGTTATAAAGTGACATTTTGCATACAAGAACGATTTTATGTTTTTAGGGGAGTTGGATGGCCGAATGATTAGCACATGCGCGCTGTAAAATAAGGTCTGTCATTGAGTCAACTGGCGTGGTTTCGATTCCCCGGTTGTACGCGACTAACATATGGTTTAATTTTATTTCAATAATTCGCTTGCGTGTAGGGATCTTTAGCAGTGGGAGGAAATCTGAGGACCCTGAGAAAACCCGCGACGTTAGACAGGCGACCCTACTCCTTGTCACGTACAAACGGGGAATCGAAACCTTGCTACTTGACTCAATGACTGACCTTATGATCCTTCCCGCACGCATTAACCACCCGGCCACCCCCACCCCCTCTACTGACAGGTAGACAAATTGTCAATCGAATTCCATTTCTAATATTTACTAGTAATTGCCTTCCTACTCAAATTCTAAAATGTACTAATTGTTCTGTTGTGTGTCATACACGGCCTGCTATTGGCACGGGATCTTTAACTATCAGATAATATAACAGAAACTTGATACTCCCATTAAATTCAAAGGAAGACGATCGATGATTAACGTAAAAGGATTCTTATTTCATACTAAATACAGATATTAATATATATTTTATATATCATAAAATAAAATATGGCTTATTATCTTACCTTTCTGCATCAACAGAGAGAGAGAGAGAGAGAGAGAGAGAGAGAGAGATGGGGGTTTAACGTCCACTTGACACAGACCAGGTCATTTCGGCACTAACATATGATTCAATTTTATTTACATAATTCGCTTGCGCGTAGGGGGTCTTTAGCAGTGGGAGGAAACCGGAGGACCCGGAGAAAACCCACGAGGGTGGACAGGCGAACCCACTCCTTGTCACGTACAACTGGGGATTCGAAACCGCGCCAGTTGACTCAATGACATACTTTATGGTACAGCGCGCACATGCTAACCATCCAGCCACCCAACCCCCCAGGGAGAGAGAGAGAGAGACAGAGAGAGAGAGAGAGCTTGGATCCCTGATGCAAACCCGGTGGGCCTGAAAGGAGTAGTGTTTAGTCGTTCGGGTGGGACGGACATTTTCAATATGTACACATTGGTGTGCACGTAAAAGACCCAATAACATTTCCCTCATAGCACACTGTATGCGCGTCCTCATTAGTCCTGTCGGTGCAGAAAAGTAGGAAATGAAATGAAATGAAATGAAATGGGGTTTAACGTCCTACTGTTCTGCTCCTAACCTGGGCTAATGAAGACGGGCATACGCCATACAGTGTGCTATGAGGGAAATTTTGCCCGGACAGCGGCACTACGGCCTACTCTTATATCGAATTCCAACTGCCAAGGGATCTTTTACGTGCACGCCAATGTGTACACGGGACCTCGGTTTTTCGTCCCATCCGAACGACTAGACAGCTTTCCTTGTCAGCCCCTCCGTCCTGCATCACTGACAAGGGAGAACCACGCCGGAAAATATTTCATTTCTGTCTTCGGATGGGACGAAAAACCGAGGCCCGTGTATACTTTTCTTTCCGTATCGATTTGCTCGTACTTGTAGGCCTACTGGCAGTAAACTGACGGTCACAAAATTCATTAAAATGTAATCATTAAAATGACTAATACTAACACACTGATCCATAGTGAATACCGAGTAAGATTAGGCGGATTATCATCGCGGTAATCCATTTTAGTCCGGACAAAGTTCACTTCGCGCGCACAGATTACTCATCGGAAATTAGACGGAGATTCGCGCATGCGCGGGTGTAATCTGTCCGAGGAGGGAATCTACGCTCAACATATACATTGGCGTGCACGTTAACGATCCCTTGGCAGTTGGGTTCCGACTATCGGGGTAATTGTTATTTTCATTATATTTATGCAACGCGAGATTGGGGGATTTGCCCAGATGACCGTGTTTCCCATATCACTGGATATCATGGGGACGTCTTTATTAATCCGAGTACTACAGGAATGTATATATGACAGTAGTCAACCCAATTTTAAGCCAATGACTAAGAGTCCCGATTGATATTTCACAACCCATTGCTCAAGCTATTCTCATTCTATTAGTATTACCGAAAGCTGATCAAAGCCTCGCTGTTTGGTGACGACATATCAGGTATGCTACGATATTTCGCTTACATTTTTATCATTAATAATCAATATACTGTGATATACGCATGACAATGGGTTAAATTTGACAGATGCAGATTGCTTTACGCGTCGACGTTGGGTTACAAGCTAAATATAGTATATTAGCAGTAAAAGTCGGTCAGTGGTGGCTGTTTAAACAATATATTCATACGTCTCACGCGTTGAAATACCAGCCTTAACTACTTCTTTGGATATTTCTCGGTTTCAATGAACAGCCATCTGACATACTTGGTCTTCCAATCAGCAGTTAGATCCATTTTATTGGGTGGGTGGGGGGATGGTTAACGCGTGCGCGTTGGATTAGAAGGTCTGTCATCGAGTCAAGTGGTGTGGTTTCGATTCCCCGCTTGTACGTGACAAGAAGGGTCGCCTGTCCAACCTCGTGGGTTTTCTCCGGGTCCTCCGATTTCCTATCACTGCTAAATAGCAGAACAGTAGGACGTTAAACTCCATTTCATTTCATTTATCACTGCTAAAGACCCCTACGGAAGTGTCCGGGTAAAATTTCCCTCAAAGCACACTGTATGGCGTATGCCCGTCTTCATTAGCCCAGTTCGGAGCAAAACAGTAGGACGTTAAAGCCCATTTCATTTCATTTCATTTCGCTCTGCATTTGCGCCCCCTGTTTCTATATCGCACCATACCCTGTTTTTGCCATTTCAGTAATCAGCTTTAACATCTGAATAAGCAGGCGCCATGTTACTGCGCAGCTTCCGGTTACTACCCAACAGACGATTGCTAAATGTACGGATTCGACCACAATCTACTATGGCGGCAGTCAAGTCATGTGACGACATTCCGGGACCGCAACCAACTCCACTTTATAAATTACGTTCAGAACTGAAGAAGAATTTCGGGAGAGGACACAAAATGTTTCAGGAATTACATCAAGAATTTGGACCTGTAGTTCAGCAGAAAATTCCGATCGCCTCCTTGCAACTTTTCTTCATTTCCGACCCCAGTTGTCTAGAGGAGTTACTACGCCAAGATGACAAACATGTCCGAGCTCCATTGCCAATATGGAATGATTATAGAGTTAGAGCAAAACAAGAATTTGGAATCTTAACAGCGTAAATATTTTTTTATACGCCCACATTTTCATGTCCGTTCGTCCGAACGTCCGTCAGTCCGTCCACAATTGTTTGTGAACACTCTACAGGTCACAATTTTTATCCGATTGCAATGAAACTTGAAATATAGGTTTATCACCCTAAGATCTCGGTTCCTGCCCATATTGGCATGTATCGGACTGTAACTTCATGGATTATAGCCCCTGATTGTACGAAAAATCACGTTTTTAGCTTGTGAACACTGTAGAGGTCACAATTTTTTATCCGGGTTGTATCAGGGTTGTGGACCCTCTGGAGATCCCAATTTTCATCTGATTTTGATGAAACTTGAAATGACTCTTTATAACCCAAATATCTTGGTTCCGTTCTATTTTCCTACATATCGAATTGTAACTTCCTGAATTATGGCCTCTGATTGTACGAAAAATCGCGTTTTTAGCTTGTGGCCCCATTAGAGGTCACAATTATTATCCGGTTTAAAACAAACGTTCGAATATATCACCGTTACACCGTAATTTTGTCTGAGTTTGAATTTCATGAAAATCGGACCAAAACTGCCGGACAAAATGGCAAGTCCCGTTGGATAGTATTCTCGGATATAAAGGCAGGGTGACACTAGCGGATTCATCCTTTACGCATCTTTTACGGAAAATTCTAACTAAATTCGTAACGGATCAGTCCTGTCGGATAGTATTCTCGGTCTTAACCCGGTTGAGTGCAACGTCAGTTGTTTTGTATACGAGTGGAGCCACGGCGGCTCAGTGAGTAAGACGTTGGCTCGCTAACATGGGGGTCCCATGTTCGATCACTGCGTTGGCAGAGGAAGTTCATCGGGATTCTCCGGCGTGGTGTTCCCTTGTCAATGGTGCAGGACAAAAGGCCTGGCGCGAGACAATGTATAGCCGTTCGGATGGGACGAAAAGCGGAGGTCCCATGTTCATATTGGAGGGCACGTTGGAATTCAATATATAAGAGTAGGCCGTAGTGCCACTGTCCAGGCAAAATTTCCCTCATAGCACACTGTATGGCGTATGCCCGTCTTCATTAGCCCAGTCGGAGCAGCACAATGGGACGTCAAATAAAACCCATTTCATTCATTCATCGTATCCTTTTTGTCAGAGGTTACAGGACATGCGCATTATATATATTCAGAGAATTATTACATTGAATTGACAGAGATGGCGACAATTGGGGACGGATGAGAAGAATCGTTGACAAGCCCATGTTGAAACCAAAGACAGTGGAGAACTATGCTGACAATATGGCCGTAGTAGTTGGGGATCTACTCGACAGATTTGAAAGAATCAGAGGCCCGGATATGGTTGTTGAGAATTTAGCTTCGGAACTTTTTAATTGGGCATTGGAGTGTAAGTTCAAATATTAATCAGACATTCGTTTGTAGCCTAGGTGATCAAATGCTGGGACCATTAGTACTAACTGCCAAATATGGTACGGGCGGCCACACATGATACGGATGGCCAAACATGGTCCTGGCGGCGAAACATAGTACTGACTGCCAAACATGGTACTGACTGCCAAACATGGTACAGACGGCCAAACATGGTACTGACGGCCAAACATATATTCAAAGGTTTGTGAATGTTGAGGGGTTGGCCGAATGGTTAGCACGTGCGGGCTGTTTCATAAGGCCTGTCATTGACTTAACTGGCGTGGTTTCGAATCCCCGGTTGTACGTGACAAGGAGTAGGGTTGCCTGTCCAACCTCGTGGGTTTTCTACGGGTCCTCCGGTTTCCTCCCACTGCTAAAGACCCCTACGCGAAAGCGATTTATTGAAATAAAATTAAACTATACGTTAGTCCCGAAATAACCTAGTCTGTGTCGAGATGACGTTAAACCCCATTTCTCTCTCTCACTCTTTTTAATTTTTAATTTGAAATGAATGTATTTAATCTCATTTTAAGCAATTGGAACAGTCTTATACGAGAAAAGACTGGGTAGTTTATCAGATATCAGAGATCCTGAAAATGACAAGTTTATCCAGTCTGTTAGAGGTATATTCACCAGTACTGTATATTTGTTTGGACTACCACCTATGTTGTCCCGGTTTTTAATGAGAAGTCAGTGGAAAATTCATGAAGAAGCATGGAATACAGTATTTAGAATAGGTAAACTCTTAGCTTCTATTTCTTGAATCATAGTTATAAGAGAAATGAGGGGGGGGGGGTCGAACTGTGATCGCGTGCGTGTTGTATCATATGGTTTGTCATTTAGTCAACTAGCGTGGTTTCGATTCCCCGGTTGTCCAAACTCCGGGTGTCGAGTGGACGTTAAACCTCTCTCTCTCTCTCTCTCATAGAAATGAATTGAAATGAAATGGGGTTTAAGGTCCTACTGTTCTGCTCCTGTACTGGGCTAATGATGGCGGACAAACGGCACTATATATGGCCTATTCTTATAACGAATTCCAACTGCCAAGGGATCTTTTCTTCAACGACAGGGCTATTGAAGATGTGCATACTGTGTGTGCTATGAGGGAAATTTTTTTACGTGCACACCAATGTGTGCACATTGAACATTGACGAGTAGGTGGACACGTGTAGCTTCCCGGGCAAAATGTCCCTCATGGCACACGACGGCCACTGATCTGGAAAACTAGGAACCTAAAACACATTTCATTTCTGTTCTGTTAAAGTTACGGGTGGGGTGATCATATGTTCCATATTGGGAACGAAATATCTTTATAAGGACCTCCCTGTTCGTCTCCAGTCGGTCCGCATAAGATTCATAGTCAGCGTAGAACAGTAGGATAAAGATCATGGGAGAGTAATATGTATTTGACGGGCATCTCATGTTCCCGCAAAAAGTACTCCAATTGAATTCCAACTGCCAACCGTACCACACTGATCAGCAGTGAATAGTCGCTAGGATGCTACAATCACTGACAGGCTTAATGAGCTCTGTTCCGGATTCTTCCTTGTTTGTACCGTAGAGGGTTTAAGAAGATTCCTTTCAGTTTACTCGCTGCCCCTTTGAGTTGGAAGCCAACAGAAAATCAAGGATTATCGTATCAAAAGGTTTAATTACAGAGGTAAAAAAGGATAATACAATACATCGTGGCTTGGATGCAAAATGTTGTACAAATCATAACACGTAAAACGAACGTATGGTAAAGTAAAATTTAACACGTAATAATTGTGACACACGAAAAACGAAATAATCACGACACTCCTCACTTAAAAGACGTGTCTTGTGTCTTTTACTACTGTCACTTTAAACTGGTAAGTTTGTCTATGGTCGAAACAAGAACACTAATTCACTTGTTGGTCTTGTAAAAAGTTTACGAACACCATTCAGCGTTGGCTTTACAGGGTTTTTGTCCTCGTACACTTGAATGATAGCTTCGCGAACTACTCCATCTGTACTCGTGTTGACACTGACGATTCGACCTCTCGGCCACTGTCCTCGAACACATGCTTTATCGGCTATTAGAACGATGTCGTCCACTTGTAGATTCGGGATATCCTTGGTCCATTTTCTACGGTACTGTTGTTCTTGAACAAATTCTCTTCTCCATCTTGTCCAGAATTGGTCAAGAAGGTATTGCGTCCTTCTCCATTCACGTTGACAGTAAAGATCAGGCTTTACAAATTCGCCAGGAGCTGGCAAATAGGGACGAGTTTTCATCGTTAGTATTGATGAAGGAGAAAGAGGTAGTGGTTCACTGGGGTCATTAGGTATACCAGTGATAGGTCTGCTGTTAATGATAGCAGCTGCTTCGGTCATAAGTGTGACCAGTAGATCGTGGGTTAATTGGACTCTTCCGAGACATGCTAGCATTCCTTCAAACACCCTACGTATGCTACCAATCTGCCTTTCCCACGAGCCCCCAAAGTGAGAGGCATGGGGAGGATTCATCTTCCACTCTATCTGGTTTTCAGAAAAGAATTTCTTGACTTCACCATCTTTTATTTCCTTAAGACATTCAGCTAACTCAGCTTTAGCACCCACAAAATTGGTGCCTTGATCAGATCTCAGGACTGCAACAGGACCCCGTATGGCGAGGAAACGTCTAAGAGCACAAATGAAGGCGGATGTGCTCATGGAATCGACCACCTCTATATGGACCGCCCGGGATGACATACATGTAAAGATGATTAACCACCTCTTAGAACTTGCAGCTCCTCCTCTGGTTTTTCTGGTAACCACCTCCCAGGGTCCAAAGGCATCCAAACCAACATTGGTGAATGGTGGTGAGCTGCTGAGTCTATCAGTTGGAAGATCAGCCATTTTAGGAGTCTCAGTGGGACGTCGAAGAAAGTTGCACCTCAGACAGTTGTGTATGTAGTTACGAACCAGTTGGGAACCGGCAATTATCCAAAATCCCATTTGTCTAACTTTGCCGTGTGTTATCAGTCGACCCTGGTGTTGAACCATTTCATGATAATGACGGATGATCAAAGTTGTCACATGGTATCTCTTTGGAACTATGACTGGGTGTTTTTCAGAAAATTCGAATGGTGCATTTCTTAGTCGACCACCTACTCGAAGGAGACCATTTGTGTGGATGAAGGGGTCCAACTGGTGCAAGAAAAGTCCTCTGAGTTGGCGTTTGCCGGTAATCTGTTTCTCTTTCAGTGTTGCTATTTCTTTATTGTATTCATGAATCTGTACATGTTTTAAAATAAAGACTTCAGATTCTCTCATCAGCTGTGGTGTAACTTCAAATTTGTGATGTTGTTGAAACCATGTAGCAGAAAGCCTCAGTAGTGTTATGGCTCTCAGAAGTTTGTACCAACTCTCAAAATGATCGAAGTAGTTGCACCAGTGACATTTAGTAGTAACTCCATGTTGAATGTCTGTTTTCCTAACTCGAGCCTCTGGTCGAATTTCTACATCCTCCTCTATTAAAGGGAATTCGTGACTTGCCTGGTCTGGTTCGATTAAAGACTTAGGTCCACTAAACCACTGACACTTCAGGAGGTTTGCGATGGTACTTCCACGTGTAGCTATGTCTGCAGGGTTCTCATTAGATTCGACATACTTCCAGTCAGAGGTATTTGTTAAGGACCTAATTATCTCGACTCGGTTAGCAACAAACTGGTAGAATCTACGAGCATCATTAGAAATGTAGCCAAGGACTACCTTCGAATCGCTGTAGTAGGTCGTTCTTGAAACTTCGAGTTCTAGATGCTTCTTGATATCTTTAACCATATTGACTAACATAACAGAGGCACACAGCTCCATTCTGGGAATGGTTATTTGACGATGTGGTCGTACTTTAGCAGCCCCTTTAACTAATGACAGGTGGACATCACCATTGGCGTTTTTCAGGCGTAGGTAGACCACGGATCCAATGGCATCACAACTTGCGTCAGCGAAACCATGTAACTCGATATCAACAGGGATACCAAAGTCTGGTGGGGTAAAGCATCGTGAAACAGCTATTTTGTTCATATTTTTAAAGTCACTAGTCCAAGTTGACCATTGCTTGTAGTAATCATCTGTTAACGGATCATCCCAATCCAGGCGTACACCATTATCCTTATGTGAGTGGATGAGTTTATGCAGGAAGTTTCTCCCCACTATGATGTATGGGGCGAGGAACCCAAGAGGATCGAAGATAGAATGAATCGTGGACAGTACACCACGTTTTGTATATGGTCTGTCAGCATCTAATACTTGGAAGGAAAAGACGTCTTCCTCCAAATCCCAATATACTCCTAAGGAGGTTTGAGCAGGAAGTTTATCTTTGGTAAAATTGAGGTCCTTGACATTACTGGCTCTATCTTCCTGGGGAAAGGCTTTAATAACTTCATGGACATTAGATACCACTTTATGTAGTCTTAACTTGTGCTCGGCTAACATGGACTGTGCTGATGAAATTAACTGTATAGCCTTTTCAGGGGTTGTAGATGAATAGATACCATCGTCAACATAAAAGTCTTCATTGACAAACTTAAAGGCTTCAACTCCATACTTTTCTTTGCCCAATTTAGCTGAGAGTTTTAAACCATAACTGGCTACAGTTGGACTTGATGTATTACCGAAGATATGGACATTCATTCGGTACTCAATGACAGGTAAGGCAGGATTGTTTTCTTTAAACCATAAAAATCTCATGAAATCACGATGTTCAGGATTTACGTGAAAACTGTGGAACATTTGTTCAACATCACACATTATTCCAACTTCATACTGTCGGAATCTTATCAAACGACCATGCAAATTGTTTATCAGGTTAGGACCTTGATATAACTGGGTGTTCAAGGAAGTTCCAGCGTATTCAGCAGCAGAGTCAAAGACTACTCTGATTTGTGACTTCTTGCGCGGATGATAGACTCCGAAGTGTGACAAGTAAAAGACTTTACCACGAGTTGTTTGAAGTTCGGCTTCTGGGACAGGTGAGGCATGTCCCCTGTGTAATATTTTCTCCATAAATTGTAGATAATCGTCTTTCATTTGTCTGTCTCTCTCAAACCTTCTTGTGAGACTATTGAGTCTTTTCTCAGCCTGCTGTCTGTTGTTAGGCAGTATGACGTCACTATATTTAAAGGGGAGGGGAGCTTCCCAATTGCCAAGGGCATTTTTATGGAATCCATTTTCCATAATATCCCAAAATTTTAAGTCTTCTTGGGATAGACCAAATTCGTTATCTGTAGCAGTCATAAAGAATTCGTCTCTTGAAAGATGTTTTGTAATTTCAGGGCTGGAATGTTTCATATTCATTGGAGTGATTTGGTCCTTTAATACTAACTCGTTGGCGCAGGGCTCAATGACGTGTTGAACACCGACTGCAGTCTTGCAGGTCTTTATATGTATGTTACCACCTTGTCGCTCCAAACATACATTGCCAGAGACGGTCCATCCTAGATCTAGAAGCTGTGCCCAGGGAGCACCAACCGGACCATTAATAGATTTGCGAACTTTTAACAAGTCATTTCCATCTCTTCCAATGAGGAGTGAAATAGGTGCTGACGGATCTATTTCTGGAACATTGTTGGTAATTTCTTTGAGATGAGGAAATTTCTCAATAAGTGCAGGACTTGGTATTTCGTTCTTGTCTCCTGGTATGTTATCCGTCTCAATGACAGTTGGTAGATTGAAAACACCACCATTTAACGATTTGATGACTAGACCGTTTGCTCGTCTACCAAAACATGTGTCTTTACCATGACATGTTTCTAAAGTATACTGGTAACTTTCACCACTAACTTGCAGCCTGTCAAATAATTCAGATGTCCCAAGGGTGTGATTCGATTGATCATCTAACGTGACATATGTGCGTAACACTAACGAAGGGTCATCTTTGTGGTAGATATCCGCCAGCACTATTTTACCACATGATCTGCCAAAGGATTCGCCACCACATATCTGGGTGCATGAAGTGGAAACTGAAGTGTCTACTGCAGCAGTCGTCTCCCCACCTTCCTTTGTATCACCAACCGACTCCCCACTTTGCTTCGGAGGTATGGTTTCCGAAACATCCTTTCGTCCTTCTCTGTAATTGTGCATGACTGCACGATGTCTGCCACCGCATTTGCTACACTTAATTACTGCAGAACATTGACTTGTTTGATGTCCCTCAGATAAGCATTGAAAACATAAACCTGCTTTCTTCACAATGTTTGACTTTTCATCGTGTGATTTTGACCTGAAGTATCTACATTCTGATAAAGTATGAGGCTCTTTCTCAGAATCAGGGTGTAGGATGCATTTATTGGCTGGTTTAGAAAGTGTCTGTGTAGGTTTCTGGGGTGAAGGTTTGATGTCTGTCCTCAAAGATTTTGAGCTTGGTCTATTTTGGAATAATGAGGTCGATTTATTGGCTAAAGTGTCATTAGGAACCAACGCTGGGTGGTTCTGTAATAATGATATTTCCTTCATGACCTCAACAAACTTTGTGAAAGGGGGGTAATCTTCAAAGGGATTACAGTTAAGATATTTTATAAGTTTATGTTCCCATTTGGTTCTTATAGGCTTTGGCATATTTGAAACCATAGACTTCATGAAATATGATGAGTTGAGTACCTCTAAGCCTTTTAGAAAGGGTATTTGAGAGGCAATATCTTCACATTTGTCGTAAAATCTCTGCAGGGCATCTCGATCATCAGTTCTAAAGTGTGACGCCTTCACCAAGCCTTCCAATAGTGTACCAACAACCTTTTAATTGTGACCAAATCTCTCTTTCATACACTCCCACAGTGATTCAAGTTTGACAGCAGGATCATTATGAACTCGTTTGCGGAAAGTGTTTACAAGATCTTTCGGTTTGCCAGAAGTATATTTTAGCATGTAGTTGATTTCCTGTTCAGGTGTACAACTGGCTTCAGATATCAAGGTCTTAAAAGACTGTTTCCATGGGACAAATAATGCTGAGTCACCGTTAAAAACATCTGGCTCACATTTTGGAAGCGCTTGTTTGCATAGTGAAGCCACCAGTCTCTCATTGATATCTTGTTGTGACAATTGCTGTACAGGAACTAAGTTGGCAGAATTGAATACAGGAACAAAGGGTTTGGACATAGGGTCTAGTCCTGTGAGGTTTTGTGATAGCTGTGGGGGTTCATCAGATGTAACTTGAGGTTGAGCAATTCCATCATTATTAGTCTCAGGGAGATTGTCTACCCAATTTTGAGTATTTGAGTGTCTATTATCGTCATCATGAACTTGAATCAAGGATTCATTATCAATTATGGAATTATGCTCACTGTAAACACTTGCACTCGCTTCAGCAATTGCCAGTTCTTGTTCACCTCTTAAAAGTTCCAGTTGTGATTCACATATTATTTTCTGTTTGTTATATTCAGCTTCCTCTAATTTTCGCTTCAATTCCAGCTCTTTGATCTTTTTGTCAAATTCGTATTTTGCTTTAATTTTGGCAAGATTTGATAGTGCTTCTAAACCTTTGGTTGACGAATTCTTCGACTTTCTGGAGCTTATAGACTGTTTATCTAAATTAACTGCTGCAGCCTGTGCTTTATTTGACTGATTAGAATTATTCTCAACACCTTGGTTAATTTTTGGTGACACTATAACTGGACCCTCACTTGATTGTAGTGTTGCATCATTGGTAGATTTTGCTGGCAAATTACGAATTTGACCCTCATTGTTTAGTGGGACAACTTGTTGACCTACATTGTCAGTTTGTTTGGCCATGCTTCTGGTTTGAATTCCGTCAGTTTTGGATGTAGAATCCATTTTTGTAACGGCTGTGTCGGTAGACGACATTTATTTACTTTTATTTGATTTTTATTGTGGTCTGTGTCTAACCACGACGTTTAAATGACCCTTTTTTACTGTTCCGGATTCTTCCTTGTTTGTACCGTAGAGGGTTTAAGAAGATTCCTTTCAGTTTACTCGCTGCCCCTTTGAGTTGGAAGCCAACAGAAAATCAAGGATTATCGTATCAAAAGGTTTAATTACAGAGGTAAAAAAGGATAATACAATACATCGTGGCTTGGATGCAAAATGTTGTACAAATCATAACACGTAAAACGAACGTATGGTAAAGTAAAATTTAACACGTAATAATTGTGACACACGAAAAACGAAATAATCACGACAAGCTCACAATATTAACTTGTTTACTTCTGCAAATTAAATCTTAAGAACGCGTCCGCGAGAGGACCATGCAAAAATTGAAAAAAGAACCCACAACACGGGGGGGGGGGGGTCAGCAAATTTCAACCACACTTGGTCTATCGGGACCCCTAGGCGACAGGAGTATCAGGATGAAGTGAAACATTTTTGAACGGACAACTTCCGGTATAACTGGAAATGATGTGACGTCACGTGTTGAAAGCGGTCTTCTTTTACGGAGTTGTTAGACGACTTCCGTAATCCTCTGTGCAACAGACTGCAACCCTACATTTACGTTCACGCTAAGGTGTACTTGGGACTTCAGTTTCTTCGTCTCATCCGAACGACTAGACGCTATTCCTTGCCATCCTACACCATCAACAGTTTATTGAATAAAATATTGTTTAAACTAAACTAATCAACAAGAGGAAACCATGGCGGATATTTTTGTTGAACGTTCTCAACCAACACCGGCTTCGTTTTTCCTTGCCAGGCCGTCCGTACTATAAGACTAACACGGAAAATTCGGGTGAACTTTCTCGGACAATGCCGGAATTGAACCCAGGCCCTCTGGTTAGTAAGCCACTGCGCTTCGTGAGGTATAATTTTTTACTATTTTGCAGCTGAGAAGTGTGTCACTGAAAGACTGGAACAAGTAAAGAATGTTTCCAGAAGCGAGGGTGAAGAAGTGGGAATAATTGAGTATTTGGTTGAAAGGATGCCACTGAAAGAAGTTTACGCTAACATTACAGAACTGATGGCTGGTGGTGTAGATACGGTAGGTCATTTCTAGATGCAAGGAAAGTGGACCTAATCGATGGTCATGATATTTATATAGATGTTTCATTTCTAAATGTAGGGAAAGTGGACCTAATCGATGATACAGGACAAACAAAGCGAGTTTCATCTGTGTTTATATCGGCATAATCGTAAAGAAACCTTGGTAGAGAATGCCGAAACGCATGTTCCTGAAGCAACGACCGCGAGTTTTACAACATCTAGACGTTGCTAGACTGGTCTGCAATTCCCGAACTTATAGCTACGTTATCTCCCTTTACTGCAGACACGGGAACAATAGCGTCCAATCAGAGGCTGTGGCACAAACACACTCAAATCAAACATGGCGATCTCCACGGAAACCTTGACATTGAACGAACCTTGAACTTTGCAACTCGATTATCACAGGTAGACATTTTAGCTGGAAAGCGCGAGACTTGGTATTCGCGATGATCGGGGAATCTGATAGGCTCCCCAGCTGGGTCAATATTCAATCGAAATGAGTGCCGAAATATGCAGGGTATTACGTTAAGGGAGATGTACGAAGTTGAAGCGAGATCAAGCCTTCTATTGAAGATGGCGGACATTAGAATCGCTTGCATGGAACCCGCCGCTCTTCCTAAATGGAGAGAGAGAGGGGGGGGGGGGGTAACGTCCACTCGACACAAACTAGGTCATTTCGGGACTAACATATGGTTTTTAATTTTATTTCAATAATTCGCTTGCGCGTAGGGGTCTTTAGCAGTGGGAGGAAACCGGAGGACCCGGAGAAAACCCACGAGGTTGGACAGGCGACCCTACTTCTTGTCACGTACAACCGGGGATTCGAAACCACACCAGTTGACCTCAATGACAGACCAGTCGACTCAATGACAAACTTTATAATACAGCGCGCGCACGCTAACCATTCAGCCATGGGGATCACGTGGCTAAGTGGGTAAGACGCTGGCTCGCTAGCCTGGAGGTCGGGTGTTCGATCCCTGCATTTGCCGAGAAAGTTCATCCACATTTTCCGGCGTGGTCCCCCTTGTCAGTGATGCAGGACGGAGGGCCTGACAAGGACAGCTGTCTAGTCCTTCGGATGAGACGAAAAACCGAGGTCCCGTGTATACATTGGAATGCACGTAAAAGATCCCTTGGCAGTTGGAATTCGATATAAGAGTAGGCGATAGTGCCGCTGCTCGGGCAAAATTTCCCTCATAGCACACTGCTTGGCGTATGCCCGTCTTCATTAGCCCAGTATAGGAGCAGAACGGTGGGACGTTAAACCCCATTTCATTTCATTTCATTCAGCCATCCACCCCACCCCCCTTCCTAAATGGAAATGAATAAAGATACATTATGTAAGATTTAGATAAAGAGCTGGTCGTTCATGCTATAATAGATCGAAAATAGATAATGCAAAATGAATAATTTGAAAATTTCATTCAAATTACTCTATTGCGAGCGAAGATATTAGCCTTTGAAGGTTTGACAACACGTGTGCAATAATTTCAACCACCGCACTGGTTGTTCGAAGCTAAGTTTCGCTCCTCCATTTTAAGCTTAAATCAAAGTATGGCTGAACTGTTCTATTCTATTTAATATCGGAGAAATCCGATGCCATAGAGAGTTGATTATGGCCTGGATAAGTTAATTAATGTCTAATTGATAATTTAGAAAACATTTCAGACCTAAAGAAAGACCTGCAATAGGCAGATTTAGCTCTTGCATAATGTATGTTTAAAATTAGCTTATATTCGGACATTATAAACTTCGAAAGCTTTTGTCCAGATTCATCGTAAACGTTTCAACAGCACACATAAATCAGAGAATTGTTGGAAGGTCCTTTTCTCATCATTAATTTCAGAACATTTCTCCGTTATAAGCGGGGAGCCACGGTGGCTAAGTGGGGAAGACGCTGCCTCGCTAGTCTGGATGTGGCGTGTTCGATCTCTACATTGGCCGAGGAAGTTCATCGGGATTTTCCGACGTGGTTTCAGCTTGTCATTGGTGCAGGAAGGAGGGTCTGGCAAGGACAGCTGTCTAGTCGTTCGGATGGGAGGAAAACCCGAGGTCCCGTGTACACATTGGCGTACACGTAAAAGATCACTTGACAGTTGGAATTCGATATAAGAGTAGGCCATAGTGCCGCTGCCCGGGCAAAATTTCCCTCATAGCACACTGGCATGTCTTCATAAGCCCAGTCGGGGCAGACAAGTAGGACGTTAAACCCCATTTCATTTCATTCATTTCCGTTATAAGCGATTTTTGTTTTGATTTTTAGACATCGAATTCAGTACAATTTCTGCTTTACGAAATCACTAAAAATCCAAACATTCAAAATAAAATCTACCAAGAAGTTCAAGAAAACGTCAAAGAAAATGGAATGGTGGATTTGAAAAATCTGAAATATTTGAAGGCTTCAATTAAAGAGACTTTAAGGTAAATTGAATTAACTGTTTTAGTCTCATATTTTCAATATATTTAATTCAAGGCTGTGGCTACAAAGATTACTCATGTGACGTGGCTATAAGAAAAGAACAAAACCCACGAGGTTGGTAAACTCATTAGTAACTCATATAAGTCTTCCGATCAGATGTTGATCGAAGCGTCTCTATCAGAAGAATATGCAAGATAAGTTGACCCGAGGTCACATGTTAAACAGATTAATTACTACCCGAGTAACTCATTATACTATGAGTAATATTTTACCACCCGAGTAACTCATTAAACTATGAGTAATAAAATACCACCCGAGTAACTCATTAATCTATGAGTATTAATATACCACCCGAGTAACTCATTATACTAACCCATACGATCAAAAGTCAGTCCATTTCTGTAAAATGCTGAGTTATTAATGTTTAATACCACCACAGGATGTACCCAGTTGTAAATAGTATTGGTCGTATTACACAGAATGATACAGTGATAAATGGATATCTGATCCCTAAAGGGGTGAGTATTCAGTTTAATGTTAAAAATAAACCCCGTTTACACTTCGCCGCGATAAGCGTGTCGTGCTCGGCACGGTACCAGATCGCGATAAATTTCAAGAAAATGGCCCGTTTACATTACTCTAAAACAGTGATTCTCAATCAGTGCGCCACAAAATTTTGAACGGCACACTAAGAAAATTTCTCACTAAAGAAGGTAGCTATTTAACTGACGAAATTCAAAACACTGCAATAAAGTAAGTTTATAGCTGTCTTTACCTTTACATGTATTTAATTTGAGTCATTCTATGTGCCCATGGCTAGTCTGTGTCTACGGATGTATGCCGTCTATGACTTGCCATGTCTTTATTTTGCAAAATTTAAATATTTGTCATATATATTTATCCAGGTGTGTCGCTATTTTTTCATGTGTTACAAGGTGTGCCGTCGGCAAAAAAGGGTTGAGAACCACTGCTCTAAAATAACCGGTCTCGTAACCGTGCCAGGCACGCCAAACATAAAAGTTAACTTCAGTCCCTATGCAAATTACCCGGATGAAAACAATTATAGCAGATGATTTAATTTGAGCAGCCATTTTGACAGAACTGATAACAAAATTGGTCGGAAAGTTCATCGGGATTTTTCGACGGGTTTTCCCCTTGTCAGTGGTGCAGGACGGAGGGCATGACAAGGACAGCCGTCTAGTCTTCGAATGGGAAGAAACACCGAGGTCCTGTGTACACATTGGCGTGCACGTAAAAGATCCCTTGGCAGTTGGAATCGATATAGGAGTAGAACATAGTGCCGCCGCCCGGGCAACATTTCCCTCATAGCACACTGTATGGCGCACGCACTTCTTCATTAGCCCAGTTCGGAGCAGAACAATGGGACGTTAAACCCCATTTCATTTGTTGTTGTTTTTTTGTGTGAATAAAGAAAATGGTTGGATACTCACCATATGTTCTGGGTAGAAATGAATCTATTTATGAAGAAGCTGATGTATTTAAACCTGAACGTTGGTTAAGAGATCAACCTGGTGGACAAGATAAAGTTCATCCATTTGCTTATTTACCTTTTGGTTTCGGACCACGAATGTGTGTTGGTAAGTAGTCATCAAGTAGTTATCTTCAATATTACCTGGCGCGGGTGGGGGTGGGGGGTTAAGGTGTGTACTTTTCAGGTAGTAATCAGGTAGTTAACTTCAATATTACCTGGCGCAGGAAGGGGGGGGGGGGTAAGGTGTGTACTTTTAAAGTAGTAATCAGGTAGTTAACTTCAATATTACCTGGCGCAGAAGGGGGGGGGGGGTAAGGTGTGTACTTTAAAAGTAGTAATCAGGTAGTTAACTTCAATATTATCTGGGGAGAATGCTTTTAAGGTGTGTGCTTTTAATGTAGTGATCAGGTAGTTATCGTCAATATTACCTGGGGAGAATGGTTTAAGGTGTCTATTTTTAAGGTAGTGATCAGGTAGTTATCTTCAATATCACCTGGGGAGAATGATTTAAGGTGTATGTTTTTAAAGTAGTAATCAGACAGTTATCTTCAATAATAAAATAAAACCAAGTACGAACAATCCAAACCATTAGACAAAATTCGAAGTCCTAAAAGAATGGTTTAGGCAAAATAGTGTAATCAGCAAATGGACTGTTCACTGTGTTAAAAATACACGACAAACAGTGGTAACAGGTGTCCGGAAGATTAAGCTTACCCTGCCTGGCGCCACACCCACCTGATCAGAGTGGATAGTGCAACTCCCCTCTACCCCTCCTTCCCTCTACCCCTCTACCCTCCTTTCCTCTACCCCTCCTTCCCTCTACCCCTCCTTCCCTCTACCCCCTTTTTGTCCTGTGGACCCCCAATGGGTGGTTTCATGAAATTCAATTCAGTATTTTGCTAGTAATATTGGCTGTCTCTTTTTTCCCTATGTCATACTTTGATTGGAAATAACTACCCTATAAATACTTTCGTGAGAATGCATCCTTAATGTTTCTTAAACTGTGATATGTTTTTGTTAGGACGTCGAATAGCCGAGATGGAAATGCAGATTTTAGTTTCACAGGTAGGAACTGATTAATACTTTCTCCTTTATTAAATCTTTTTTTCTAAGACGAAAAACTGGGATTGGAATTGATTAATATTTAAGTCGGCAAACTCTAACTTGGGAGGGGTGGGGGTGGGGGGAGGGCAATCACCTACCAAAATGGCGCCAATCTATAGATTCCATTGACTGGTTCTAGACAAAATCAAGATGGTCGATATTTTTATCAGATGATTGTGTGGCATGTTCGGCTCTATATGGTTATAAAAATTACGTTCATCGGACAGAACATAGCATGGACCAGAGTAGAGTTGCTTCCCTTTGGCCCTATCCGCGGAACTACAATAGTAAATCAAATTCTCAAAACACGGCAGGTTCTTCAATGCTCTCGTTCAGTATAACGCTGGTGCTATGATACAGCAGGTAAAGAGGAGCGGGAGGGGGGGGGGGGTAACTGCATAAAAAAACATGGTAATTGATTAGATGTGGATACAAGCATCAAAATTTTCACCATTTCTCCTTTAGGACTGGGGGGTTGGATGGCTGAATGGTTAGCGTGCGCGCGCTGTATCATAAAGTCTGTCATTGAGTCGACTGGCGTGGTTTCGAATCCCCGGTTGTACGTGGCAAGGAGTAGGGTCGCCTGTCCAACCTCGTGGGTTTTCTCCGGTTTCTTCCCACTGCTAAAGACCACTGCGCGCAAGCGAATTATGTAAATAAAATTAAACCATATGTTAGTCCCGAAATGACCTAGTTTGTGTCGAGTAGACGGTAAACCCCATTTGATGTTGACTGGTGAAAATCTCACTTCCGACACAATGACTGCTCTGCAGAAAGACACTTTACACCCCCTATCCCTCCGCTGTAATATCATCAGTATTACCCAAAACTGCTATGAAATTGTAAATTTGATCCCTTTTCTCCAATTCTAGACCAAAAAGTCAACCCAAAAATGCAGGAAGAGGGGAGAAAAAAATTAAGGAAAAAATTGTCTATATTTATAACTCACACTACATTCATGAGATAAGGAGAAATAATTACTAGTCTTAGTCCAACAAAAACATTAGCCATTTGCAAATCCAAGATGGCGACCATTTTCAAGATGATCGACTTTGGGGCAACGAAATATCATTTTCTTGCGATAAGTTCACATCAAACTACCCTATTTGCCAGCTTATTTTTATTAATATTTTGGTAAAAATAGTATCTCATGCATATATATACCTGTAACGGAACTTATTTCAGATGTTAAGAAGATTTCGCCTGGAATTGGTTGATGATAAACCCATTGACACGTATTGTGACTTGATAATATCTCCTGCTCAACCACTTCGACTCAGATATATAAATCGTTAAAGATACATTATGTAAGATTTAGTTAAAGAACTAGTCATTCTTGCTATAATAGTTCGAAAGTTGATGATTAAAAATGAATAGTTTGAAAATTTCATTCAAATTACTCTATTGCAAGCGAAGATATTAGCCTTTGAAGGTTTGACAGACGTGTCCAATAATTTCAACCACCGTACTGGTTGATGGAAGCTAAGTCTCGCTCCTCCATATTTGATTAAATCAAAGTATCGCTAAACCATTCTAATCTATTTAATATCGGAGAAATCTGATGCCATCGAGAGTTGATTAACGCCTGGATCAGTTAATTGATGTCTAATTAATAATTTAGATAACATATCAGGCCTGAAGAAAGACTTGTAATAAGCAGATTTAGCTCTTGCATAATGTATGTTTAATATATTATACACCTGACAGGTGAACAACATTCAAGGCTTGATTAGAATGGTTACACATTTTCATAGCCTGGCCCCGAGTTCACAAAGCATTCCCAGACTTAAACATACATTATGCAAGAAGAGCTAAATCTGCCTATTGCGGGTCTTTCTTTAGGCATGAAATGTTATCTAAATATTATTAATTAGACATTAATTAACTTATTCAGACCATAATCAACTCTAGATGGCATCGCTAGCCTACGATGTTTACTGGATTTGAATCCTATCTGCTGCGTAACGCTCATTGATAATTAAATCAAAAAATGGATAATCGAGACTCTGTTTTTTATCATATTGACTTTAGAAATGATGATCGAAAATTCAATCGCTGAAGTCTCGGTTCAGAGTGGATCAATTTGAATGAAATTTTCAGCAAATTACCTTTACATTATCTAGTTTTTAACTATTATAGTGAGAACTGTGAGTTCTTTATCTAATCTCCCATAATGTATCTTTAAGATAAGAATTTTCTCAAAATTCTTCGCCTTAATGTATCAAAAACATCATCTAAAGTTTTGTGTTTCTGGATAAAAGATATTTCTCATAAACATTGATTGAAAGTTGAGGAACTGTACAGCGCAGTGGACGCTTACGGCTAGCCACCGGATCCATTCACTTTATTTGAATTGTGCGTTTGTTTGTGATTTCTGCGTATTGCGTCTTGTTCATATATTTGTTTTTGTGTAAATTATGTGTGGTGCAGTCCCCCTGCACTTACTATTAACTTGGAGCTTGTTCTTTGTCATAGTTTTGCTATGACGTCATGAGTTTGATTATTATTACTTCTTAGAACAATACGTTTTTATTGAAGATATCCCGAATATAAAATATTGTTTATAAAAATAATAATAAACAATAGCAAAATGTGACAAAGAGCCAAATAAGATCATTAAACTAACTGAAAAATGATTGGTAACGATTAAAGATACATTATGTAAGATTTAGATAAAGAGCTGATGGTTCGTGCTATAATAGTTTATAGATACATTATGTAAGGTTTAGATAAAGAGCTGGCCGTTCTTGCTACCATACTTCCAGTATAGATAATGCAAAATCACTATATTCAAAATGTCATTCAAATTACTTTATGCCGAGCTAAGTTATATGTGTCTGAGAGAGAGAAATAAGGTTTAACGTCCATTCTACACAAACTAGGTCATTTCGAGACTAAAATATAGTTCAATTTTAGTTCAATAATTCGCTTATGCGTAGGCTCTCTCTCTCTCTCCCTCTCTCTCTCTCTCTCTCGCTCTCTCTCTCTCCCTCTCCCTCTCTCTCTATCGCTCTCTCTCTCTCTCTCTCTCCCTCCCTCTCTCTCTCTCCCTCTCTCTCTCGCTCTCTCTCTCCCTCTCGCTCTCTCTCTCTCTCTCTCTCTCTCTCCCCCTCTCTCGCTCTCTCTCTCCCTCTCTCTCTCTCGCTCTCTCTCTTTCTCTCCCTCTCTCTCTCTCTTTCTCTCTCTCTCTCCCTCCCTCTCTCTCTCGCTCTCTCTCTCTCTCGCTCTCTCTCTCTCTCTCTCTCTCTCTCTCATCCCGGTATTGGCCCAGAAAGTTCATCGTTATTCTCCCGCGGGGATTTCCATTGTTAGTGGTGCAGGACGGACTGCCTGGAAAGTAACAACGCAATGTCGTTCGGATTGGAAATATTTGACAGGCTGAGATATAGTGACCGTGGGAAAAGTAATGTTTTGTAATCTTGCCAATTTGACGTCGTCGACCTCCTTTTATATTATAAACTACTTTTTTGTTCATTCGGTCGCCAACTTGACGTGGTTGACTTTCTCCTCCTTTTATATGACACACAGTTATTGTGCGCATGTTTTCTTTTTATTGATTGTATTTCATTGTTTTTTTAAATAAACTAAGTTAATAAAGAACGCTTTGTTAAGTTTTCTTATTCATCAACAAATATCCCCATATCCGACTTTTGATGTATAAAATTCCGCCAAATTATGATTTTTTATATTTTACGTAATGCATTGTCAACTGTCAGATTTCCTTAACAGAAACCTGGCAAACCCCTTCCTGCAAAAATTTCTGAATCCGCCCTTGTTTGTGCCCGTTCTGCAACAGCTGGGATATTGAAGACGGGCATACGTGTAACAAAGGGTGAAGTCTCTGCTGTCCTTTTGACCTAACCGCTGTTTCTAACATCGATATGAATATTGTTAAGATAAGCTACTGCCATATTGAAATGGTCATGTCGGATAACCCGCCGACCTTTAATTTATTTATTTATTAGTATTCAGCTGTCATCATAATTCTTTTTGTTCAATATCAGTAATATGTAACTTCATACCTCACCTATAAATTGGTTAAGGTTTCTGATGAAGTCAGTTCAGTTAGTTGAGTTGAGTAGCTCAACACAGAACCATGGAGGCAGACGTGAATTAAGACGATGGCCGTAAAGATTACAATATTATAATATGTATTGGTTGTTATACATGTAGTGTAGTTTAATGTTTGTTACCGTCTTGCTGAATTAAAGAAGTCCAATCCACAGTTATTAGATGATCTGATTATGTTCCATACGTCCTGTAGTGTACTATGCCGTTGTTCTTGGTGTTTAACGTTTGCTGACGGATCTAGAGGGGTGAGGGGTTTTTTAAGGGGTCGGGCGGTTTGGAGGGTTGGGGGAGGGGGGCGGTCAGATCCGGTCTGGTCAAACCCCACCCCCTTGCTTAGCTACATAATTATTTTTTTTAAACAACACTTTTATTAGAAAAGTGTCACGGTCGTGTGCTTAATCCTTTATCGTTAGATGATGGGATGGGATGGGCATTCAAAGCGCAAGATAATGATAAAGACATATGTGATATCACAAGTAGTGCTTTGCATCAATGAAATTGAATCACAATGTGATCCTATTAATTCATAATAAAAATCGACGTCAAATGGAGTGTTGGATTTCTCTCTTTAAAAATGGCATCATACATTGTCAACTGTCAAATTTCCTTAACAGGAACTGGCAAACCCCCTCCTGTAAAAATTCCTGGATCCACCCGTGGGGTAATATCGCGGATAGGTTGTCTTATTTGAGTATTCAGCGCGCTCGCGCAGTGGTCGTTTCTGTCGGAGGTACACTGGGTACTCGGAGCAAACCCGCGAGGTTAAGAAGGCGCACACGGTCATGTATCCATAGATGACCGGCCAACTTGAGCTCGGAGGGCACTGATTTTTATTTCTCTGAGAATTACTATCCCCCCCCCCTATGACCCCCACCCCTTCACACACACACCTAGACCCCCCCCCCCCCACACACACACTCCTAGACCCTCCCACACACACACACACCTAGACCCCCCCCCCCCAACAAAATAAACTTAAATAAATAAATATGAACTTTAATATCAAACAAGGTTATTTTCTTTCTTGATACAAGATGTCGTTTCGTAATGTCGATCCCGTGTTAAGATTTCGTCTTTTTAATAGATAATTTCAAAACCATGTAGTAGCCATAGTAGTCAATATTTTCGTGATGGAGAGTCTTCAATTCAGGAATGTTCAATCGAGTATCGCCTATTTGTGCTGCACGGAGATTGTAAAGGGGCACTACTCTAAAATCCACCTTTATGGTTATGCGGCAAGGTTTATATAGTTTTAGAACAATATTATATTGATTAAGATAACGTGAAGTCGTCTTTAATATGTTATTTAATCCTTTGTGTATAACCATACTACACAAACTTCGTGCCCTGACCACAACACAACTTCGTGCCCTGACCACAACACAACTGTGTGCCCTGACCATAACACAACTTCGTACCTTGACCATAACAGAATTTCGTGCCCTGACCACTACACAACTTCGTGCACTGACCACTACACAAATCCGTGCCCTGACCACAACACAACTGTGTGCCCTGACCATAACACAACTTCGTGCCTTGCCCACTACACAACTTCGTGCCTTGCCCACTACACAACTTCGTGCCTTGCCCACTACACAACTTCGTGCCTTGACCACTACACAACATCGTGCCTTGATCACAACACAAATTCGTGCTCTGACCACCACACAAAATCATATCCATTATAATAACATAATATACAACGGGTTTAAGCTAACGACTGAGAAATATCTTCCGTTAATGTCAGAATAAAGCCGTTAGAAATTGGGCTCGGGTCCTCACTTCGTAGAGAATCACTATCCGGCGATTCCATCAGCTGATCCTGAGGTGCATCATTAAAACTGATATTTCCTATATCCAATTCTTTTAAGTCATTATCCGAAGCTGCTCTCTTGTCTATCGTGCTGGTGGGGACGTGTTTTATCACCTCAAGATTGGTGTCCATTTTGGGCGATAGCTTAATCATAGTACCGTAAACATGCGAATATTTCGTACACAATCTCAATCCGTCCTTATACGTGTCCAGATCTGAACACTCGTCCACGTTACTAGCAGTCCTGACGCAGCATTTTGTATTGACGGGCATTTCGAACAGGATGTTTCGTTTGTTTAATATCGTACAAGCAATGATGCTTTCCTCTTCTGTCGCCGCATGGATGATGAACATTCCTGTGAAGATACACGGAACGCTCGGAGCTTTCCCATACAACAATCTCACCTTCACAGGCAAGGTCAGCTCACTGAGTATATCTTTCATGGAATACACCGGATGATCATCGTATTTACCCTTTTCGAAGAGGGCGTTGAATTTACCCTTATGCGTCAAGGGAATAAGGACCTCCTTGTGGTCAGTACTCGTGATGCACTTCAAATATTTCACTTCATAAGTTGTAAATTGGGTATGCTTCTTTTTAAACATCCCAGTTTCAGCTTCAGTTTTCCACTTGGCTGTGAAGATGCTGTGTGTTGTAAGTACGGAACCAGCAGGGATATTTCGTTCGAGATATTGCTGCTCCCCATCATCGTTTGTGCTGATCCGAATGGCTTTGATGTTGGATCTCGTGAAAAACCTTTTTGGTAAGGATTCGGCTAATTGGCCGATGGTTCTATAACAGGGTGCCCGACTGAAATCAGGCGGCACTTCTTCAAACATGCCTAAAACAAAGAACAAAAAGCAGAAATGAAATGAAATGGGGTTTAATGTCCTACTATTTTGCTCCGAACTGGGCTAATGAAGACGGGCATACGCCATACAGTGTGATATGAAGTGCATTTTGCCATGACAGCGGCACTACGGTCTACTCTTATATCGAATTCCAACTGTCAAGGGATCGTTTACGTGCACGCCAATGTGTACACGGGTACTCGGGTTTTCGTCTCATCCGAATGACGACTAGACAGCTGTCCTTGTCAGGCCCTCCGTCCTGCATCATTGACAAGCCGGAACCACGCCGGAAAATCTGCATGAACGAACACAAAAAGCAACGTAACATATTACATATTGACATTACTAAAGCAAAGTCTAGTTGGATCTTAACAGCTCGGCGGGGGGGGGGGGCGAATGGTTAGCGTGTGCGGGCTGTATCATAATGTCTGTTATTGAGTCAACTGGCGTGGTTTCGATTCCCCGGTTGTACGTGACAAGGATTAGGGTCGCCTGTATAACCTCGTGCTAAAGACCCCTACGTGCAAGCGTATTATTCAAATAAAATTGAAACATGTTGGCTCCGAAATGACCTAGTTCTCTCTCTCTCTCTCTCTCTCTCAAATTAATTGGGGAACCACGGTGGTTAAGTGCGTAAGACGCTGGCTCGCTAGCCCCGAGGTTGCGGGTTCGCTGCCGGGGTTGGCCAAGAAAGTTCATCGGGTTTTCCAGGAGTGCGGTCGTCTGTCCAGCCTCGTGGGTTTTCTCCGGGTTCTCCAGTTTCCCCCACTGCTAAAGACCCCTACACGCAATGAAATATTGAAATAAAAGTGAACCATCCATATGTTAGTCCTGAAATGACCTAGTTTGTGTCAAGTGGACGTTAAACCCCATTTCTCTCTCTCTCTCTCTCTCTCTCTCTCTCTCCTTAATCGCGTGTTTCGGTGCATGGTGACCTATCTATGTTTATAAGATATGCCACAATTTAGTTATTGTAGATTTAAATATGGCCTGAACAGACTTCCGTATATTGATATAGACATGTGCTTAGACTCACCTTCATAATCTTCTGGAATGAAAATGGTCTGCCCCACCTCCAAATATCCTCCCGTATTGTCTTTACAGATAGTTCGAGCTGAGGCCTGTTTCTTCTTCACCTTCGTATAAAACAAAACTGGCGAGTTCGCATAAATCTTCAAACCAGGTACTAATTCACCGGCCTTGTCTTCAAACCGTACAACCGAGGGTAAATTTTTATCATTTTCAAATATATCTAACGTGTATTCCTCATCAGCGAACTGGAACTTCACTGGTTTATCTTCATTCGGATCACTGTCGCTATTTCCACTGACAGTCGTGTCGATAGACGACGCCATTATTTGATTTAATGTTTATAACCAACGAGTTCAGCGTTCACTGAAGCAGTCATTCACTTCAATGGATTCTATCGACAAAACAAGTCTATTCATAAGTTAAGACGAATACTCTAGGCTCGTTAAGCCTTCACTCCTATAAACTATTAATAGAAACGCGTAAAACCGGTTTGCATGCAAATATTGACAATATGACATACCGTACTTCATATTGTTTAGATCTATTTTATAAGGCCAACTTCAATTTTAGTCAAAGGTCACGAGATCTAAACAGGGCTAGAGCTAATCCCAACCCTAACCCTAACCCTGGACCTAACCCCAATGCTTACCCTAACCGTAACCCACAATCTCGCCAACAATCACGTGCCCTTATCTTATTTACATCGCAGTGACCTTGACGAAAATTCAGCTGGCCTTAACAAATAGATTTAGCCCTACACATTTCTATTGCCGCTGAGTTTTGCCCTTTTTCTTTCTCTGTACCATGTTAGTATGTGGGTGTTTCTCCGTCATAAAATATTTCACTGGGTCAGTGGCTTTCATATTTTAAATAAAAACGCACACGCCTTTTCCATCACCATTGTGGCGTCATAAATTGAGGTGTTGGTCAATATAGAAGTGTGACGCCTTTCAATGAAATGTGTTTTGTTAAAATAATCCTACTTTCTCGTTATACATCTTTGAATCCTAAAATTCGTGAAATAAATTTATCCGATTTTATTTAAACATTTTCTTAACTCAATTTGTTTGTTATTGTTTTCACTTCAGGAAAATGAAATGGGGTTTAACGTCCTACTGTTGTGCTCCTAAACTGGGATAATGAAGACGGGCATACGCCATACAGTGTGCTATGAGGGGGGGGGGGATTTTTCCCGGGCAACGGCAATATGGCCTACTCTTATATCGAATTCCAACTGCCAAGGGATCTTTTACGTACACGCTAATGTATACACGGGTCCTCGGTTTTTCGTCCCATCCGAACGACTAGACAGCTGTCCTTGTCAGGCCCTCCGTCCTGCATCACTGACAAGGGGGAACCACGCCGGAAAATCTGGATGAACTTTCTCGGCCAATGCAGGGATCGAACACCCGACCTCCAGGCTAGCGATCCAGCGTCTTACCCACTTAGCCACGTGATCCCCTGCTAGCTATAGAACAAAATCTTTCTAATTTTTTTTTTTTTTTTTTTTTTATCGCTACTGAAACAAAATTATTACTGGGTCAAAAGTCGGTGTCACCTGTAATCTCTGGCTTGATATCAAGATGCAAATATCGTACTAAAATATTTCATCAGGAATCTTTGCAAACTTTCACCTGGAAATGAACAGCGTCTAGTTTTTTGAATGGGACGAAATCGGCGCGACCCGGTGTACACGTTGGTGTGTACGTAAAAGAATTTTGAACTCTAAAATATCACGACCGCGAGAAACGCTGTTCTGTTTCCGCCATCAATCTAGAGTTGTTTCCCTTTGCATAAGCGCATTCTGACATGTGGCGGCACTCGGTTATGGAAGACCAAACAGCCCTTTATTCAGTGTTGTAAGTCCTTATTTCCTAATTCATAATCCTTAATTCTTATTTCTTCATTTGCTGTCGTATTTCGACATTTGTACACTAAAATTAACATTTGTATCAAAAAATCAATATTTGTTTTACAAATCAGAGATTTGTTTTACAAATCAGAGATTTGTTTTACAAATCAGAGATTTGTCATATCAGATTTGTAAAATGTATTTTAATTGTTTTTTAATACAAAAATAAAATTTATTTTAGAAAATCAAAAATTAGCCTACATTTACAGTTTATCAGAAACAAATCTGGAACAACAAATTTCTAAATACAAATCTCCAAATACAAATCTTGCAACACATTTCTCCAAAAACATTTCTTCAATAACAGTTCTCGAAATCCATCGAATCGGAATATTATGACGACATGAGCGGAAATCAACCTGGCATACAATAAGTCACCATATATTAGATATTATAGTGGGGAGGGGTTTTTGCCCCATTAAAACCAATCAGAAATTGATGTTTGACGATCAGGGGAATATCAGACTTAGAAGCTATTATTCACTTATCTTACAATAGAAATGAAATGAGGTTTAACGCCCTACTGTTCTGCTCGGACTGGGCTATTGAAGACGGGCATACGCCATACAGTGTGCTATGAGGAACATTGTTCCCGGGTCGCGGCACTATGGCCTACTCTTATATCGAATTCCAGCTACCAAAGTATCTGTTAGGTGCATGGAAATGTATACACGGGACCTGGGTTTTTCGTCCTGTCCGAACGACTAGACAGCTGTCCTTGTCATCCTTCCGTCCTGCACCACGGATAAGGGGAAATCACGCCGGAAAATCTTGATGAACTTCCTCGACCAATGCAGGAATCGAACACCCGGCCTCCAGTGTAGCGAGCCAGCGTCTTGCTCACCCAGCCACTGTGGCTCCATCTTCAAGAGATATAGCAGCTAGAAATTGGAGTTGTAAGGGTTCGGGGCGGGGTTTCATACTCGAATCGGGAGTTGGTCGGATTAGAGTGGCGAGGGCAACTACAGAAAGCACGGGCCTTGGGTCTGAATGTATCCTTGCACCGAAACTCCCTTGTCAGTGATGCAGGACGGAGGGATTGACAAGGACAGCTGTCTAGTCGTTCGAATGGGACGAAAAACCGAGGTCCCGTATACACATTGGCGTGCGCCTAAAAGATCCCTTGACAGTTGGAATTCGATATAAGAGTAGGCCGTAGTGCCGCTGTCCGGGCAAAATTTCCCTCATAGCACACTGTATGGCGTATGCCCGTCTTCATTAGCCCAGTATAGGAGCAGAACAGTAGGACGTTAAACCCCATTTCATTTCATTTTGCACCGAAACTTTCTATCTTTTTACACTTGAAATATTTACCTGATGTACCGAACATCAATTGATAATGATAACAGTGGACTCTGTCACATCCGATCTCTGATCACTCCGGATTTCTGTGACATCCGACATGATTTTCATGTCCCGATTTGTTTCCTTATTACTTCAGCCAAAAAATCGCTGGTAAATCCGAATTCTGTATGTTCCGGATTCCGAAATCAATCAGCCGTCCCGTCACATAATTTCCATTGAATCGACACCGTATAATCCGTACTTCAAACGGTGGGTGTGAAGCATCCAATTATCGGTGAGATTAAAACTCAATGGGTGTGAAGCCAGAAAAAATTAACAAGTAATCACCAATCAATTATCGGTGAGATTATCGGTGTGTTGATTACTTTGATCGGTAAAGCAGTTAACCCGAGATGTTTTAGGGGAGTGGACAAGATCAACCTGCCAGTCAATTGGTCGGCCAATCGCAAAGCTTGGATGACAGGTGCCGTTTACTTTGATTGGCTTGAAAAACTGGACATAGAACGACAGATTATAAATGAACACGTAACAGAGTGGACAATTGGCTGAAGACGGGGACGATGAAGAATATACATTAACGACAGACTTGACCTATTCAAAATTCCTACGCATGCTCAACGACATTAAACACTTCGCACAGATTAAGGACGAAAAGATGATCGCAACAATTCATTTGTTAGAAGATGTTGCCCAGGACTCCGCCTTACGATATGCTTCCGGTAATCTTAAGCAAACTACTTTAAACGATTACATGCATTGATATTTATAAATATATTGTACGCATGCATTGATATTACATGTGAACGATTTTATGAATATATTGTACGCATGCATTGTTATTGTTAATTATTTAATATAATAAAATTTTGAAAGTACAGAAAAGTTTATCATTTATGAAGGGAATATCATTATGGTGATTCGAAGCTACAATATAAAAATACTTCCGGTTTTCGAAGTTACAGTATTTCCGGTTTTGGAGAAAGCTCGGTATTCCGAAACACTGTGTGATCCGAATTATTGTAACGATCCTGTACGATGTCGGATGTGACAGAGTCCACTGTATACGACTTTGTACAATGTAATCGACGGCTTTTAGCATCTGTGTGTAGACAATTGTCTTGCCAGTACAAAATTGGATGTAAGACGCAAAATTATACTGTAACTGACCTTTAATGTCACGGCCATCTTTTACAGGAGAGAGAGAGAGAGAGAGAGAGTTTACCGTCCACTCGACACAAACTAGGTCATTTCGGGACTAATATATAGTTCAATTTTATTTCAATAATTCGCTTGCGGGTTGGGGTCATTAGCAGTGGGAGGAAACCAGAGGAAAACTCCACGAGGTTGGGCAGGCAACACTACTCCTTGTCACGTACAATCGGGAATCGAAACCACGCCAGTTAAGTCAATGACAAACCTAATGATGCAGCGCGCACGCGCTAACCATTCGGCCATCCACCCCCACCACTCGACACCCACCCTCTCCTCTACAGTAGCAAAAGACGTTTGTCAGATTAGCCGCGGTACTGAAACACTACTAAATAAAAATTCAAAAAAAATTTTATCCAACGTTTATTGGTTTTCAAACGATTTGATCACAATTAATGGACTATACTGTAAAAATAATAATAAACAAGACAAAAAAATAATTTACAAAATATACCACGATCAAAATGAATAAGTACATATTAACATATTAAGCGGCTGTATGAAAAATATATAGAAATGTTGAAATGAAATGAAATGGGTTTTAACGTCCTACTGTTCTGCTCCTAACCTGGGCTAATGAAGATGGGCATACGCCATACAGTGTGCTATGAGGGAAATTTTGACCGGGCAGCGGCGCTACGGCCTACTCTTATATCGAATTCCAACTGCCAAGGGATCTTTTACGTGCACGCCAATGTGTACACGGGACCTCGGGTTTTCGTCCCATCCGAACGACTAGACAGCTGTCCTTGTCAGGCCCTCGATTCTGCATCACTGACAAGGGGAAACCACGCCGGAAAATCTGGATGAACTTTCTCGGCAAATGTAGGGATCAAACACCCGACTTCCAGGCTAGCGAGCCAGCGTCTTACCCACTTATATAGAAATGTTGAAATGGCGACGTTAGATGAATAAAAACAGGGTCTATATAAATGATAATTTACATATGCAGACTGGTCAATCTCGTCCAAATGTCGTGGTCAGGACTGTAGACTGGATATCCAGCTCTAAATGAAGTGGACTTGATAAAATGGTCTATACTGCACGATCTGCGAGAAATGGCGTACGAGAGAACAAGAAATGGGGTTAAAGTCCACTCGATGCAAACTAGGTCATTTGGGGACTAGCATATGTTTCAATTTTATTTCAAATAATTCGCTCGCGCGTAGGGGTCTTTAGCAGTGGGAGGAAACTGGAGGACCCGGAAAAACCCACGAGGTTGGACAGGCCACTCTACTCCTTGTCACGTACAAGCGGGGAATCCAAACCACGTCAATTGACTTAATGACAGGCCTTATGATATAACGCGCACGAGCTAACCATAAGCCCCCACCCTCTTTCAATGGCGTACAATCACATATCAAAGAATAGTCTCTATCATTCAGACACATTTCTACGAATTAGTCTGCATGGAGAATAACTAGGTCTGCGGCTAGATTATCCGGTCTTTTTCATTATCATGAACAAAATCTAAGGGAGGTATCTAGCCTTAGCCCTAAAACAAAATGTCGACGCCCATGAAATTAATTTAAGAATTGCCATTTCAGAAAAATCTATTTACAATGCTTGTTCAATATTCGACACTCTTGAATTTTTATTGTGAAATGTCTCTTTTCAATGGCCATATCTATGCATTTTTAGTAATCATAATTCGTCGTCACGATTCAAGTTTGTTTGTAATAATGCACGAATTATGGGATTTATTCCGGGACGGGGCGCAACTCTTACTTGACTTTAGCCAAAACGTTCCATTGCCCATGCGTAACTTGGAGTTTGTTTTTCATGTGGTTGATTATCCAGTAAATTTCGTCAAATGTTGACAACTGACCCAGACGTTGAAGACTAGGAGGTTCTAGGTGACAGAGACTAATCAAAGACCAGATTATCTGGGCTACCAACAGATTACACAGGACGTTATTCACGAAATATTCAACAAAATCAGTTATAGAATGCAGTCTTTTCAATGGATAACGGCTAATATATACTAATATTTGAACTAAACCCTCAAAATATCATAGTGTCATTCTGACTCGTAGTATATATACAAGCTATCTGATTACAATACAGGGGCCTGTTTCACGAAATTTTAACTAAGATAAAATCCAAATTTTAGTAATTTGATTGGATAATATTAGATTGATTTTAGTGCTTAGCCAATCAAAATTGAAGTATCTACTAAAATTTGGATTTTATCTTTAGTTAAAATTTCGTGAAACAGGGCCCAGATCTATATTTCGTTTCGTTTTTACATACTTTCGATGGCCTACACTACATGGAAGATCTGACCTGTTGTAGCGATAGGTCGCGTAAGAGGTCATACGAGCGGTTTTTGATTAATCAATCAGCATTGATGCTACTAGAGGATTACACACAGTTCAGTGCAAAACACGCCGAAAGCTCGCCGTAACAGACCGTTTCACTGGCTAATAGCTCACATCATTCAGAAACGTCAATGATAACAACTCTTCCAGATCCTAGTGTAGTAAAGACAAGTAAAATGAAATTTTGAACTATAAAAACGAAACGAAATCCTGTGTTTTAATCAGATTGATATACAAGTAAAAAAAACGAGTAGTGTAGGCGCGAGTTCAACGTGTTGGGTAGTCGGCTTTTCAATCTAACAAGCCTGTTCTACGTCATGACCCGGTGTCACGTAGGAGCTAGTCTGACAAATTAGAGCCGATTATCCAGTGTATCAGACAGACAAGGGGTCACGTAGCACCGAGTCTGACGTATTAGAGTCGATTATCCAGTCTGTTAGATCGTTATGATGATGAATGATAAAAGTTTACAGGTACACACATAGAATCACAGTATTAGAGAGAACAACGAATCCTCGCAACGTCTATACGTCACAGTTTGTCGAAATGACGTCGTCAAAATTAAAAGCAAAACAAAATTAAACCTGAGACGAACATAAAAAAAAAATCACAAATCAATGCGCTTTATCGCCGACTCGAATCGAGGCTGTTTGGAGTTTTACCCTTTTCAACATCCTCAGCTGTCAAACAGTTCGGCAGACTATTCAGTCTTTGCACTAAAGGGAAATTACTCTTGGATTTTTCCTCGCAACTATTGAACGATCGTCTGCATTTTTTACTTAAATTTTTGGAATTTTCTTTAATTTCATTCTTGAGGAATACGTCTGTTTCGGAATCACCGTTTCCCGCGTCTGGAAGTTTTTTATCCACTGGTGAACTCGGAGCAGGCGTCTTCACCGTGTTTACTACGGGAACTAACTTGGCAGTACTATCACAATCGACGCTGGCTATCGACAGGCATGGATGATGATGATCAATAACGTCCTTATCGAAGTTTTTACTGGGCTGTGTTTTCGATCCAGCGTGGTGAGAATATTTCTGGGTTATCGAATTACTCTTGTGTGAAAATATATATCCTTTAAGCCGTTTTAGTATTTTTATAAACATGGCTTTCCTCAACAAGATATATAACCAGGGATCCAGTATCTGGTTTATACTGGCTAATCGCACACTGATCAAATCCTTGGCCCGATCTGTCTTCCCGGTCACTTGGTTAATAATTATATGGACCTGAAAAATACAAAAGAAACTTTATTCAAAAATAGTTCATCGAGGTCACGGTGGCTAAGTGGGTAAGACGCTGGCTCGCTAGAATGGAGGTCGGGTGTTTGATCCTTGCATTGGCCGAGAAAGTTCATCCAGATTTTCCGGTGTGGTTCCCCCTTGTCAGTGGTGCAGGACGGATGGCCTGACAAGGACAGCTGCCTAGTCGCTCGGATGGGACGTAAAACCGTGTATACATTGGCGTGCACGTAAAAGATCCCTTGGCCCAGTTCGGAGCAGAAAAATAGGACGTTAAACCCTATTTCATTTCTTTTCCTTTATTCAAAAATATATTTTTCTAATTAAAAATATTATGAATTACTCGATACCACTTCTCATGGCAGTCAGAACACCCCCATCCCCACCCCTCTTACTTCCACCCAACACCTCTCTAAAAGCTGGCCACACTTCGGCCAACACACCAACCCGCTGGAATTTCACGATAAACACACGGACCTACTGGAATATCTCGGCCAACACCCCCGACCACCTGGAATATCTCCGCCAACACCCCGACCTCCTGGAATTTCTTAGCCAACACCCCAACCCGCTGGAATTTCACGACAAACACACGGACCTACTGGAATATCTCCGCCAACACCTCCTGGAATGGAATATCTCCGCCAACACCCGTGTTTCCTCTTACTAGTTGTTGCCATTTCGGTCAATTCAATGTAATACTAATTATAATTACATTATAGATTTCTGGCTAGCGGGCGCCATGGTGGCTCAGTGACTAAAGCGCTGATTGACTAACCAAGAGGTCTCAGGGTTCAATGCCAATATTGGCCTTGAATGTTCCTTAGGATTTTCCAGTGTGTTTCCTATTTTAAGTGGTGCAGTGGTGTCTAGTCATTAGGATGGGAAGAACACCAAGGTCATGTGAACACCTTGGTGTGCACGTTAAATAACCCTCGTCAGTTAGAATACAAAATGAGCATAGGCGCCAGCGCGCGCTGTCCGGGCAAAATATCTCCCACAACACAATGCACGGCGTATATCTGTCTTAATTAACCCGGTGGGTGCATAAAAAAAGTAAGACGTTAAACCACATTTCTCTCTAACCCCGTCCTATAGAGTGGGTTGGGTGGCCGAATGATTAACGGGTTTACGCGGTATTATAAGGTCTGTCATTGAGTCAAGTGGCGTGGTTTCCATTTCCCGTTTGTACGCGACATGGAGTAAGGTCGCCTGTTCAAACTCGTGGGTTTTCAAATCCAGTTTCCTCTCACTGCTCAAGACCCCTACGCGCAAGCGATTTATAGAAATAAAATTGACCTAGTTTGTGTCGAGTGGGCTTTAACCCCCCTCCCCTCTCTCTCTCTCTCTCTCTCTCATTGGGATTTTCCGGCATGGTTCCCCTCTCTCTCTCTCTCTCTCTCTCTCTCTCTCATAGAGAGAAAGGTTTACAAATGAAATGATTGTGTAATAATTTTTAAGTGATATCACTGTTTATTGTATACTAAAACACAGTAACCGTCATTAATAACAGCAATAAACGACAATAAAATAATAAAAGCAAATGGGAATACTTGTCACGGATCAATTTATAACCATTTCTTTTTTTTATTAACTAACCGAACAAAACAAAACGATTAATACAATAACTATAAACACAACGTGAAGATTGAAATAGATTTATCTGGGGAATACCCATTATTGACAATAACTGTAAACACAACGTGAAGATTAAACTAGATTTATCTGGGGAATACCCATTATTGACCATAACTGTTTTGTTTTGTTTCATTGTATCAATTCGGACATTGATTCTCGTCGTTCCTTCAATGTTTATAACGTGTTTATAGTGTTCATCTTTTAAATAGGGGAGGTTGGATGGCCGAATGATGCTGTATCATAAGGTCTGTCATTGAGTCAACTGGCGTGGTTTCGAATCCTCAGTTGTACGTGACAAGGAGTAGGGTCGCCTGTCCAACTTCATGGTTTTTCTCCGGGTCCTCCGATTTCCTTCCACTGCTAAAGAAGCCTACGCGCAAGCGAATTATAGAAATGAAAAATTGGACCATGTGTTAGTCCCCAAATGACCCCATCTATCTATCTCTCTCTCTCTCTCTCTCTCTTAAATATTTCATACGGAAATAGCGCTCTTTAGCAACTCGGTTGCTGGATAAATACATTATTATTATTATTACTTCAAGTTTCGCCATTGCAATTTCAAAACAATTAGTGGAAAAGAGAGAGAGAGAGAGAGAGAGAGAGAGAGAGAGATCTGCTTTCAATGGCGTACGAGAGAACGAGAAATGGGGTTTAACGTCTACTCGACACACACTAGGTCATTTTTGGATGAACATATGATTCAATTTTATTTCAATAATTGGCTTGCCCGTAGGGGTCTTTAGCAGAGGACCCGGAGAAAACCCACGAGGTTGGACAGGCGACCCTACTCCTTGTTACCTAAAGCCGGGTAATCGAAACCACGCCACTTGACTCAATGACAGATCTTATGATCCAACGCGCACGCGCTAACCATTCGTCTATCCAACCGCCTAGGCGAGAAGTATAATAAACATATCTGGGATATATTCATTTCAAGGTTTGTCAATGATTATGACAATTTGAAGACAATTAGTGATGCTTTACACGATGATGTGATAATTGATGGGATTCTATTATTGTTGTAGAGGCGTTAATGTTTTTATTTATTGTGTATACTAATGTTATTATACTGATGGACACGCGAAAGTATAATTTATCATTAATGCGTGTACATCTTGTTTTACTTGGCTCCTCGTTAACAATAGAGTCCATTACTGATATCATAAACCTTAATTAAACATAGCTATCTTTATAGATAACAACTGAAATGAGAAGAGAGAGAGAGAGAGAGAGAGAGAGAGAGAGCGAGAGAGAGAGAAAGAGAGAGATGGTGTTTAACGGCCACTAGACCTAAACGAGGTCATTTTGGGACTAAGATATGGTTTTCAATTTTATTTCAATAATTCGCTTGCGCGTTAGGGGTCTTTAGCAGTAGGAGGAAACCGGAGGACCCGGAGAAAACCCACGAGGTTGGACAGGCGACCCTACTCCTTGTCACGTACGATCAGGGGGGTCGAAACCGCGCCAGTTGACTCAATGCCAGACCTTATGATATAACGCGCTAACCCCCGAACTATGCAAATATACTTACATTAAGAGGTAACCAACAAGTGGTGAATACTATGGTTATTGCACATAAAAACCAAGCCATCTGGGTCTCAATTTCCATCTGAAGAATCGATTTAGGTTTCACCGAGTACCTCCTTTCTACGGAGGGGGAGTTTATTATCTTGCGGCTTCTCCTCATGATGATGAGAGTGACCACCACCGTCACGTTACACACGACCATGATCACAATAAAGAGGATATTTAATATTGCGAATATACTGGCATAAGCTGTATCCAAATTACTTTCTCGGTGGAAGTTCAAGAAACACCAGGATCCTGGGAACTGGTGCTCGTAACTACCAAATCCCATCAAAGGGAAGGAGCAGATGAACATGGTGATGATCCAGCACGCCACGATACAATACTGAGCCATTCTTCTGGTAGCAACACGGGCGTAGAAATAAGAGAATCGTAAAGCCACAAACCGTTCCAGAGACATACTGCAGGCGATTAGCGGAGTCAAGAGTCCGAACCACACCATGACGAATCCATGATACGTACACAGTTCATCTCCTCCGACCCACTTTAAATTATTTGCGTACGTTAAGATGGCGATGGGCCCAGTACAGAGTTGTCCAATGAGATCAGTCCAAGCTAATCCGAGAAGTAGCGGGAAGAATATTGTCTTCTTCATTTCTCTTTTGGATGTGTAGAGCACCAGCAACGCTAATATGTTTCCCAAGACACCCGTGGACAGCATCAATATCGGCGTCGAGAGACTGATCCCAAGCGCTGCTTTATTGCATCCCGTGGAGTTGCCCACTGCCGGGCTGCTACAAACAACATCAAAGCCCTTGTCGATTTTCATCGTCATGTTAAAGTTTGTTATATTTCCTGGAGACATTGTGTCGTTGAGGTCTTGGTCCCAGGGCTCGCTCGGTCCACTGTACCTGCAAAACACAAAAAGAAGAAATGAAATGAAATGGGGCTTAACGTCCTACTGTTCTGCTCCGACTTAGCTAATGCAGTCGGGCTTACGGTGTGCCATGAGGGCAATTTTTCCTGGTCAGCGGCGCTACGACCAACTCTTGTTTCGAGTTCAAACTGTCACGCGTGCTTTACGTGTACACCAATGTGTACACAGTAGAATGAATTTTTCGTCCCATGCGAACCACTAGACACCCCTCCGTATTGCACCGCTGACCAGGGAAAACCGCGCAGGAAAATCCAGAGAAACTCTCTACAGGCGCGAATCCGAGACCACCTAGTAAGCGAGTCAGTGTCTTACTCACTGAGCTACGGCGGCTAAAATTCCAATTCCTAACGTATCAGGAATTGTGCACTGCACGGGCGAGGTATACTCACTTCTTATGAACACCTAATGACACTTTTGGTGGTGTATTTTAGAAAATCAGATAGTGTTCAATTACTAAAGATAAGCGTCCCTTGCATCACTGAAAGATAACCCGTTCCTGCAGTTGACTTTTCAATCCGCCATGAGTCCAGAATTCACTAATGATAACCAGCCCTTCTTTGCAAGTCACTATATCATGTGCCCATGAATAAAACGGAACTGTCTGTTTTGTACCAGGCACATATCGGACTGTTGTTAATTGAACTGAATAGGCTTGTCATTAAGCTGCAATAAAACACGAATGTTGTAAAACCACGTGACTATTTAATGAGACATACGGCTGATATAAAGTTAATGAATAGAAGATATCGATAGCAGCGATTAGATTCCTAGTTCAACCATTTATTTAATTAGTAAAAAATAAATTAATATCAATCAAGGTCCCCACAGAGATGGCTTGACATACGATATCCTCGTCATTGGAAAAACAAACAAATCGCGTCATTTCTTATAATCCTAGCGATAGGCTTGGGCTTGTTTCACGAAATTTTAACTAAGATAAAATCCAAATTTTAGTAATATGATTCGATAATATTAGATTAGATTGATTTTAGTGCTTAGCCAATCAAAATTAAAGTATCTACTAAAATTTGGATTTTTATCTTTAGTTCAGATTTCGAGAAACAGGGCCCTGGTTTCGAAAGCCCCGCCCATTCTCTTAGTGTGATGTACAGCAGATGATCTTTATGGACATGCTTTTGTTATATGGAAATGACGTGTCGGAAACGTCATATCCGTTAAATAATGGCGGCCGTCAGAAGTAAAGGTGACAAAGTGACAAGGTAATGGATGTTATTGTTTACAGGTTTTCACCTGAAGTGAGTCTAGTCTATGTGAATATATCGAGCTATTAGTGGGTGAGGGGGTGGGGCAGGGCAACTGCCCTCGTCTTAACTACCCCCCCCCCCCCCAAATATGAATTTCATTCCGACGGGTATTTTGGCTGTTTTAATGGAATTTAAATATGGTACACTGTAAGATTAGTCAATTTTTCATTATAGGTCATGAGATGTAAACAGGGCTAGCGTTAATCCCAACTCTAAGCCTAAACCTGGACCTAGCCCCAATGTTTACCCTAAACCTTACCTACAATCTCGCCAACAATAACGTGCCCTAATCTTATTTACATCTCAACGACCTTGACAAAAATTGTGCTGGCCTTAACAAATAGATTTAACCCTGTTTGTAACCAGCTGCTTGTACTTCCGGGTCAGGAAAATGTCTAAATGCTCCACTAGGAAGTTAATTAGTCCCTTTTATCTTGTTTTTGTATATCATAACCCCATTGTGTCATAGGCCTTTGATCTTGTTGTTGCCACGTATGGTTTCAACCTTGTTGTTGTAATTTTCTCTATATATGTTGCTTCAAGTTTTGTTATATTGTATTAGCTTCAAAACGTTGAGAGAATACTTCTTCAAAACGTCGCCTAAATAAATCAGTAGCTGTTTTCCATAAATGTCTCTTAATTAAAAGAGAGTGAGAGAAAGACAGACAGAGAAAGAGAAATGAAATGAAATGAAATGGGGTTTAACGTCCTACTGTTCTGCTCCTAACCTGGGCTAATGAAGACGGGCATACGCCATACAGTGTGCTATGAGGGAAATTTTGCCCGGGCAGCGGCACTATCGCCTACTCTTATATCGAATTCCAACTGCCAGGGAATCTTTTACGTGCATTCCAATATATACACGGGACCTCGGTTTTTCGTCTCATCCGAAGGACTAGACAGCTGTCCTTGTCAGGCCCTCCGTCCTGCATCACTGACAAGGTGGAACCACGCCGGAAAATCTGGATGAACTTTCTCGGCCAATGCAAGGATCGAACACCCGACCTCCAGGCTAGCGAGCCAGCGCCTTACCCACTTAGCCACCTGATCCCCCCAGAGAAAGAGAGATAGAGAGATGGGTTAACGTCCACTCGACACAAACTAGGTCATTTCGGGTTCAGTTTTATTTCAATAATGGGGTCTTTAGCAGTGGGAGGAAACCAGAGGACCCGGAGAAAACCCACGAGGTTAGACAGGCAACCCTACTTCTTATCACGTACATGTTGGGAATCGAATCCACGCCTCTTAATTCAATGACAGACCTTATGATGCAACGCACGTGTGTTAACAATTCGGCCAACCAACCTCCGGCTTTTAATTAAGTAATTTTGTCAGATGAATGTCTCCTAATTAAAAGCAACAGAGTGCGGATAGCTAGGCTTTTATTCTACTATTTATATAATTGATTTATAATGCATTCTTTGTCATACTTACATGAAAATGATATTAGTACGAAAATAAAACAAACCGGAAAACCAACTCTGATTCATATTGGTAAAATACTTTATGATATTATATTTTGTGTTTACAATTAAGCCTCTCCCTATGATGAGCTATCAGGTTTCAGGAAAAACAATCTCAACACCCTTAACAAAACATTTAGTTTTAAATATAACTTCCTGAAATCACTTGCGGGGCGATATAACCAATCAATTGCCTCGTCTCATATTTCAAGTGATTTGTTTTGATATAATATTGTGTAGATTGTTCATCGCTTGGTTAATGAAATGAAAACGAAATGAAATGGAGTTTAACGTCCTACTGTTCTGCTCCGACTGGGCTAATGAAGACGGGCATACGCCATACATTGTGCTATGAGGGAAATTTTGCCAGGATAGCGGCACTACGGTCTACTCGTATATCGAATTCCATCTGCCTGGGGATCTTTTACGTGTACACCAATGTATACACGGGACCTCGGTTTTTCGCCCCATACGAAAGACTAGACAGATGTCCTTGTCAGGCCCTCCGTCCTGCACCACTGACAAGTAGAAACCAAGCGTCTGAATCTGAAGTAGTAGTACGTTGTCTCCCCCACTGATGAACCCAGTGGTTAGTGGCATAGAACGGAATGAGACCACTGCGGATACCGAGGATGGTTCTCTGTGTACATAATTGAAGAAATTGCTCTGAGAATATGATTTTACAAACCAATGGCTTACACCATTATCTGATTCAATACATGACAGAAGCAAAGTTATAATTTAGGTATTACAACATCAAAGCAACCTTAATAATGTTAATAAACCACAGTAATGAATACATGAATTTATTAGATTACGAACCTGATTCACGAATAAATGAATAAATAAATGAATAAATAAATGAATAAATAAATGAACGAAGGATGGGAAAACAGATATCCCCTTTATAACAGGTCAAATTTTATCTGTCGAAGCAAATGAAATGAAATGATATGGGGTTTAACGTCCTACTGTTTTGCTCCGAACTGGGCTAATGAAGACAGGCATACGCCATACAGTGTGCTATGAGGGAAATTTTGCCAGTATAGCGGCACTACGGCCTACTCGTATATCGAATTCCAACTGTCAAGGGATCTTTTACGTGCACGCCAGGTGTACACCGGACCTCGGTGTTTCGTCCCATCCGAACGACTAGACAGCTGTCTAGAACCACGCCGGAAAATCTGGACGAACTTTCTCGGCCAATGCAGGGATCGGACACCCGACCTCTAGGCTAGCGAGCCAGCGTCTTACCCACTTAACCACCGTGACCCCCCTGTCGAATCAAGAATGAATGAATGAATGAATTCCAACATTACATCAGGTCAAAGTTATCTGTCGAATCAAGAATGAACGAATAAATGAATGAATGAATTCCCCTATTACAGCAGGTCAATGTTATCTGTCGAATCAAGAATCAATCGAGGAAGCAGTAATCGACTTGCTAGATAGGGAATAATGTACTACGAGATTTTCTTATCTTAGTATTTCCGGCATGACATCTGTTTAAGGGGGTTAATTCACATTTTCAAGATGGCTACTATGTTAAGAGAACCTTTCAACATTAAATATAACAAACATATCCGCGTTAGATTAGTTCCGATTCAAACTCGACATCAATTAAACAACAAGGTCTGTGTGCGTGCGAGCGAGAGAGAGAGAGAGCGAGAGAGAGAGAGAGAGAGGGGGTTTAACGTCCACTCGATACAAACTAGGTCATTTCGGAACTAACATATGGTTCAATTTTTTATTTCAATAATTCGCGTGCGCGTAGGGGTCTTTAGCAGTGGGAGGAAACCGGAGGACCCGGAGAAAACCACGAGGTTGGACAGGTGACCGTACTCCTTGTTACGTACATCAGGGGACTCGAAACCCCGCCAGTTGACTCAATGACAGACTTTATCATACAGCGCGCACGTGCTAACCATTCGGCCATCCAACCCCTCGCCCCCCCCCCCCCACACACACACACACATGGCTTGAACTCGAGTTTTATAATCCAATAACGGTATCTACCAACTTTACCTAAAGAAGCTAAATCGCTAATATTTAGGACCTAGAAATGGACACAAATGGATCGCAACGCATATAATAATGTAATATGAATGTATATAAACTGATTTACATTCAATCGTTTCCGTTTTTACTCTAATTTCAAATCAGTTATGTTCAGCGAAATACGCCAGAAGTCTCAGTCGAATGGCGATCTCTTGCGTCTGGTTATTCCAGTCTACACCGACATGCTCTCCAGTTAAGAATATACGGCCACCGTCTGACATGTCTTGTGGTATATATGTCTAGCCTCGTTCTTAGAGTCCCTTGTTGCAAATGGTGCTGAAACGCATAATGGTACACGATTCGTGTACTATAATGTAATCATTTTGCCTTAAATATTAGATATCAGAAGCCCATCTTTTCCCAGTAAGATTACAACATCAGTGTTGATTTAATGCCATTTCCAGTGATCTGAGACCAGAATCCGGTTCTAAAATAATGAATTAGAATGGGGGACTTTTACAGTCAAGGATCCATATGGGGGGGGGGGACATGCGCCGGATGCGCCCGCTCCCATTAGATCCGCCCGTGCATGGTATTTGTTGAAAAATAAAATATTGTACTAATTATTTTAAGGAGATAATCTGAAACCATTTCTGTTAATTTGTTTGTAAATATTATCAAAAAACTTCTACTAAATATTTATGTAGCGATTTAATTTCTTTAGCAAATACCATAATATAATACACAGATTTCTTTACCAGTATAGCTTCCCTATAAATAATATTTCTGTATTTACTTACTCTTCCATTTTGTCCAAGAAATGCTGTATCAATAAATTACAACACATAGTCTAAAAACACACCATATTTCGAAAACGCCAAAACAAAACGTTTTGGACCTATCAAACGCTCAACACCTTGATTTCTCCGTGTTTTAAAGGATCGCTAACAATGAATACACAATATTCCAAAAACGTTTTGGACCTCGAGAAGCACAGCAACTTGATTTCTCCGTGTTTTAAACGAATACTTCACACATTCTAAAAAATTCAAAACAAAACGTTTTGGACCTATCAAATGCTCAACAACTTGACTGCTAACAATGAATACACAATATTCTAAAAACATTTCTGACCTATCTCGAGAAAGTCAACACCTTGGTTTGTCCGTGTTTTAAACGATTACTAACAATGAATACTAATACATCTCGTTTCTAAATAGTGAGCACGATATACAGTAATATGAAATCTTCTAGCGTTCTAAAAGATCTTGATTCATATCCAACATGTATTCAACATGTATTTCTAATTTTTTCAGTAACTCATTAAATTAGTATTACATATGTTGTTAGGTTTTTTATTAACTTTCTGATTACTATTACACGTGTTAGTAAATATATCTATTCGAGTCATGTCGTGTCACTTTGTACTGGAGTCATATATGTTATATTTATAGCACGGCTTTCATGAGTTAACAGGTTTAACCAGAGGCCTATGGCCTCTGGTTAAACCTGTTAACGAACGTAGCATGCTATAAATGACTTGTAATATTGACACCTGCTCAACATGCTTGTTGTTATTGCACAGAAACCCCACCCACTTCTCTATATGATTTCTACTAAAACTAGTGTAAACCAGCAAAAGAGTGCAATAACATTGAACATGTCTAGTTATTGCACGGTTAAGCTCCACCCAATCTACTAGAGGGAAAACAATCTGCTTATTCAACGAAAAGAACAAAGGAAGATTTCCCGTCCATGTTACAAAATTATATATCTGCCGCTAGTTACATATTTTATTTCTACTCTGACATTTTCTCCCGGAAATAGACTTGACAGGCGTCGTGTGTATGTGACACAGGCGTGTGTCTTTTGTTTCCGGAATACGTGATACCATCACGTACAGTCGACATATCATTTCGAACTTTCGGGGGATTTTGAGCGTGTTGTTAAATGTCTACATGGACCGCGTGGATTGTTTTGTCCCATCCGAAAGACTAGACCCCTTTCTTCCGTTTTGCACCACTGACGATGGGGAAAAAGGGCTCGACTATCCCGAGGAGTTGTCTTAGCCAAACACAGGAATCATACACCAGACCTGTTGGAAATGAAATGAAATGAAATGGGGTTTAACGTCCGACTGTTCTGCTCCGACAGGGCTAATGAAGACGGGCATAAGGCGCATAAAGTGTGCTATGAGGGAAATTTTGCCCGGGTAGCGGCAGTATGCCCTTCTCTTACATAGAACTCCAACTGCCAAGGGATCTTTCACGTGCACGCCAATGTGTACACGGGACCTCGGTTTTCGGATCCTCCGAAAGACTAGAAAACTGTCCTTGCCAGGCCCTCCGTTCTGCAGCACTGACATGGGAAAAACAGGCCGGAAAATCCCGATGAACTTTTTCGGCCAACACCGGGATCGAACCCACGACCTCCAGGCTAGCGAGCCAGCGTTTTACGCACTTGACCTCCGTGGCTTCCTCAGACCTGTTGGTGAAAGATAGTCAGCGCCTTACAAACATACCTCGTGGGTTTTCTCCGGGTCCTCCGGTTTCCTCCCACTGCTAAAGATCCCTACGCGCAAGCGAATTATTGAAATAAAATTGAACCATGTGTTATACCCGAAATGACCTAGTTTGTGTGGAGTGGACGTTAACCCGCTCTCTCTCTCTCTCTCTCTCTCTCTCTCTCGACTAATTACCTTTAGTTAAGTCACCTCATGAGTTATATTCTGAACGGGGTCCACGATAGCTCAGTGAGTAAGGTGCTGGCTCAGTAACCAAGGGGCCGTGGTTCGATCCCGATGTTGGCCGAGACGGTTCCGTGGGATTTTCCAGCGTGGTTTCCCCTTGTCAGTGGTGAGGGATGGTGCCTGACAGCGTCTAATCGATAGGATGGAACAAAATCCGAAAATCCGAGGTCTTGTGTACACATTGGTGTGCACGTAAAATATTCCTTGGCAGTTGGAATTCTCTCTCTCTCTCTCTCTCGACCCCACCCTCTCTCTCGACCCCACCCTCTCTCTCTCTCTCTCTCTCTCTCTCGACCCCACCCTCTCTCTCTCTCTCATACAAACATAACTTCAGTAATGTGGAAAACCCTACGAACAAATAAAAAATAAAACACTTACATCTTATTTAAACTTATTGAGATATCATTTAAAACACAATGTATATATTTAAATCCATGTCTCACTCATCACGTCTTAAAACAAATATGGTCGTATCTTATATTTTATATTCTAACTGGCTTTATATAAGACCAAAACCCACGAACAAAACACATAAAAAATAAAACACTTATATCTTATTCAAACTTCTTGCCATATCATTTAAAACACATATATTTAAAAAGCAAATATCCCCGTATCTTATATATATATTCTGGCTGACTTTATATCAGCCCAAAACATTTCTATACACCCAGCACCTGTTTCTACAGGTTAAACTTTATCTTTTAAATGTTTACGTGGATTGAAAATACAAGATGTGTGATTAATAAATTATTCTATTTTACACCCTGTTTGAAATTTTTTACATCACGGAGATTAATAACACCAAATGTGTGATTAATAAATTATGTTGTTTTAAAACCAGTTTTATCATCTTTACATCTTTTTAAATTGAATAAAATAAAATAATAAAAGTTTGTGAGAGTTTCGTAAACATGTAAAATGAAGGTCATTCAAAATATCTTTTACGACTATCTATTAAAGAAGCATTATGTAACCCTGGCAGTTCTCGCTATAATAGTTCCCAAATAAATGAAATGAAATGAAATTGGGTTTAACGTCCTACTGTTCTGCTCCTAAACTGGGCTAATGAAGACGTGCATACGCCATAGAGTGTGCTATGAGGGAAATTTTGCCCGGGCAGCGACGCTACGACCTATTCTTTATCGAATTACAACTGCCAAGGGGCGGCAGGAATTTTTTACGTGCACGCCAATGTGTACACGGGACCTCGATTTTTCGTCCCATCCGAACGACTAGACAGCTGTCCTTTTCAGGCCCTCCGTCCTGCATCACTGACAAGGGTAAACCACGCCGGAAAATCTGGATGAACTTTCTCGGCCAATGCATGGATCGAACACCCGACCTCCAGGCTAGCGAGCCAGCGCATTACCCACTTAGCCACGTGATCCCACAGTTTCCAAATAGATAATAGAAAGGAAATAGGTCTCGATTATCCAGTTTTAAATAAAATCATTAGCAGCCAATCGCATTTAAATCTGTTGAAAATCAAAACCATCCGAGTTCTAGAGAGTTGATTATGGGCCTGGCGATGTGACGGTAATAAATAAAGTCTCGATTATCCAGTTTTAAATAAAATCATTAGCTACCAATCGTATTTAAATCCGTTGAAAATCAAAACCATCCGAAGTAGATCTAGAGAGTTGATTATGGGCCTAGCGTGCAATTAAATGTATATAATTATTTATATAACATTTGAGGCTAAACGAAAGATCTAAATTAGGCAGATTTAGCTCTTACATAATACATCTTTAAGGACGCCATGACCGCGAGTTTATGAAGTACTGTCAAACTTCTTTCCTTGTGTTTGTTTTCTTCGTGATCGTAATAACACTGCAGAATAAATGGTTCTAACAATTTTAGTGTTAAGCTGCAATGGCTTTGGAGGTTTCTCGTTCTCAATATTAATAGCTGCTTGGAATATCTGGGTGAGCCCTGTCCAGTCTCGCTCAACACCCTCTTTTATAACCGCCTAATTTCTGCACGTCGTAGATAGCCTTGACATTAATTTCCATTCCAAATATGGAATAAACCTCTTTATTTCACAAGACCAGAGGAAGACACGTTACCTTATTTGGTCTACCAACCATAGGAAAATAAATAGACAGAGGTTTTTTTTTTCTAAACAATATTTATTCACAGAAACTGGATTGGAGAACAGGCAAAAGCCTATATACCCCCTCTCCAGTGTATCAGTGTTTTTTTTATGTATAAATATATATTCCCGTTCATTAAAGATACATTATGGGAGGTTAGATAAAGAGATGTCAGTTCTCACCCTAATAGTTAAAAACTAGATACTGTAAGGTGAATTTGCTGAATATTTCAGTCAAATTGATCCACTATGAACCGAGATTTTAGCGGTTGAATTTTCGGCCTAGCCTCGATCATCATTACTAAAGTCGGTAGGATAAATAAAAACAGTCTCGATTATCCACTTCATGATTAAATTATGAATGGAAGTCGAACAGGAAATCGGAACTTAATCCAATAAACATCGCAGCCTAGCGATGCCATCGAGAGTTGATTATGGTCTGGATAAGTTAATTAATGTAAAATTTAAAATTATTTAGATAACACTTCAGGCCTAAAGAAAGACTTGCAATAGGCAGATTTAGCTCTTGCATAATGTATGTTTAAGTACGTGTGATTTGACTCTATAGACAGAGTGAAGCAACAATTTTTCAAAGAACCAATATTGTCTTAAGGACCAAAGATCTGACCGGTTGTAGTACTAAAAGGACGCGTCAGAGATCGTACAAGCGGTTTTTGACCTTATGACGTCAGACATTTGATTAACCAATCAGCATTGATGTTACTATTGGATTACCCAAAATTCCGTGCAAAACACGCCTAAAGTTCGCCGTAACATACCGTGTCATTGGTTAATCTCACACACCATTCAGAACACGTCAATGATAACAACTCTTCCAGATCCTAGTGTAGTAAAGATAAGTAAAACGATCTTTTGAACCATAAAAACGATCTGTGTTTTAATCAGATTGCAAAAGTTGAATCTCTAACAGGAATATCAGACCAAAAATGGTTCAATTCCGTTCAGTATTTACAAAGTTATGACGAATTGAAAATTCCATCTATATTGCTCCTTATGTACTATCTATATTTACCGTGAACTAAATTGATGGGCCTGTTTCGAATCTGATGGAATCCAACCCGGGAGATTATTTAGCGTTGGTACTGATTGTGTGGGTTTTTGGGTTGTTTTTTTTTTAAATGTTAAATAATCAATCTAAGTACATATTGGTTTGACAAATTAATATTTTCGGAAATTTGCAAATCACGCAGCGTTATAAAAGGCCTACTCACAAAATGGGACAGTAATTCTATTTGCGTTTCAGAAGATTTCAATGCTGGGAACGCAATGTACTTACTGTCAAACAGGGTCGATCGAACAGTCCTGTTCACACTATGGAAAGGGTAATATAATTTCTGTGAACAGTTTGTCGTCATTATATTTACATAACATTCATAGACCATTATAAAAATGAAACTGTCGGTGATAAAGTTATAAGGCTGA